CTGGGTTCTCTGGCTCCAGAGCCCCTTCCCTTAATCATTTCCCCTCCTTCTAAATTGCAATGACAACAAAAATCCCAACAGCATTTTTGGAAGCAGAATTAGATAAATTTATTATTATTTTTTAAGATTGATTTTTTTAAATTTACTTATTTTAGAAAGACAGAGAAAGCAAGCATGTGCAAGCAGGGGAGGAGCAGAGGGAGAGGGAGAGAGAGAGAATCTCCATCAAACTCCCTGCTGAGCATGGAGCCTGATGTGGGGCTCAATCCTACAACCCTGAGATCATGACCTGAGCTGAAATCAAGAGCTGGACGTTCAAGTGACTGAGCCATCCAGGCACCCTGAAATTATTTTAAAGTTAAGCTGGAATAATATGCATGGAAAAATAATTAGGAAATGGTTGAGGGAGAGAATAATCAGGGAGGAGATTCATGTTCCAAATATTAAAATGTATTTTTTTAAGATTTTTTATTTATTTGAGCAAGAGTGAGAGAGTGAGAGTGAGAGAGACAGAGAGAGAGAACAGTGGGGGAGGGTGGGGCAGAGGGAGAGGGAGAGGGAGAAGCAAGCTCCCCGCTGAGCAGGGAGACCAACATGGGGCTCGATCCCAGGACCCTGGGATTACGACCTGAGCCGAAGGCAGATGCTTAACCAACTGAGCCACGCAGGTGCCCCTAAAATGTATTTTAAAGATACATTCAAGGTATTTACTCATTAAACAAAAACTTACTGAACCCCTCCTCTTTGCCAGGTTCTGCTTTAGGTGCCAGTGATGGAGTACTGACAAGAACAGACAAAAAGCCCTGTTCCCATGAAGTTTAAATTGTTGTTGAGGGAAACAGACAAAGAAATAGACAAATTATAGACTGTTATAAGTCGTGATACATTCTATGAAGAAAAATACAGCAGTAGGAGTAATAGAGAATGCTGGGGTAGAGGAGGGGATGCTTTCTAAATATGGGGGTCAGAAAAGACCCCATTGATAAGATGGCACTTGAACAGAAACATGGAAAAGTTGAGAGAGCAAACCATGAGGGTGTCTAGGGGAAAGGCATTCCAACAGAGGGGACAATGAGTGCAAAGATCCTGGAGTAGAAGGATGCTTGCCATATTTGTAAAATAGCAAGAAAGCCAATGTGGCTGGAATGATTGGAAGGTAAAATAGTAGAAGATGATGTCAGAGGGACAATAGCAGGGGCAGGTTATCAGGGCATTTTGCCTCTAACTCTGAATGAAATGGGAAATGTGACTTGGTCTGACTTACATATATTATAAGATGATCATTCTGGCTGCTGTGTTGGAAAAGGAATTACTAACTCTTCTCCAAAAACGAGTGAGTTCCTGGTGGATAGATGACACCCAGGGGCCATGTTTCCTGACTGGATATATCTAATGTGGTAAGAGGCTATGCGCACTAGAATTGAAATTCTCTCTACCACTCCCCAAAGCTAAGACGAGTGAATAAAAGTGTCAGCAGCTAGAAAGAAATGCCACCAGACAGTGGAAAGGACGGAGAAAAACCTCATGAAACAGAATGTTTCCTACTCCGCTGTTACCTGGGCAGTTGATCTTCTATTGCCCGATGCTACCCTTCTGAGAGAGCCAGGGTACATCCTCATCCACTATCCCACTCATCACTGCTAACCGAGACATTGGCCCTTGAAGTCATGGTGGAGGAGGTAGAGTCAGGGATGGCATTCTGGGAGACACGGTACCCACAAGTTAGATTATAAAATGGTGGGTGGAGACAGAGGAAGTTTAGCAGCATGCTAGGGGCTGTGATATTTGTGTATTAATTACATCAATCCACAGGATATGGACTCAGTGGCAGATGTTGGAAAGCATCTGGCGTTGTAGATAGCATGAGGGAAAACCCTCTTGGAAATGTGGAGCTGAGCTGGGAGAACCCTCTGGCATGTCAGCAGCAGAAAATGTTGCCATGACCCCTGTGACAGGGGGCAGACTCAGTGAAACTTGCCTAATAGCCCCCGGTCTGCATGGATCCAGCCTCATTTAGGAGTAAGAAAAGAGAAAAAAAACCATCAATCTGACATCTATGACCAAATGCTGAGGGAAGTGTCTAATAAATATTTTAGCACTTTGTATATAAATGTATATTCAATTATAAATGTTACGTCCTTGGAATATGTATACGAAGCTCACCCTTGAACTTCCACAAATAAATATAATATAATCAGCACAGCACAGACTCAATCAAATAGGTCAGCTCTTCGCAGTATTCTTTACAAACATTATCACAAAAGGGAAGAGCTAAATATCAAATCTGATCTTTTCATTAATTCATCTGAATATTAAAAACTACTGAAGGGCCACAGTAGATATTTCTGGAAGTACTAGGTTATCAATATGTTAAGTATTGACAACGCTATTTTATGAATGAATCAAAATTGTACCCAAGTGTTTACCTGATTTTTATAAGATGCTTTAAAATTCCAAGATGCTGCCTCAGTAATTATATAATGCAGGCCAGACTCAGACAATTCTACAGTAAGTGAGAAGCCTGGACATATAAATAGCTCAGTGGATTGAACTTCAGTACTTCGAAAGTCTCTATCATTAGGAATTATGAAGATGTTAATTTTCAGTAATACATACTTTTAATAATAAGCGTAAGTAAAATTAGAGTTTTGGTTTTTTAACTTTTGCTGATTTTTAAGAAAAAGTTTATGTTCTTTGAACTTTAGAGTCCTTGCAATTATCTAATTCATGAATGAAAACCAACTAATTTGGGGCAAGAAATTATTCTCCAGAGGTTGTTTTCACTATCTTTTAGTTTCAGGTGCGCAATTTAGTGATTCAATAGTTAAAATCCTAGAGGAGAACACAGGCAGGAGCCTCTGACATTGGCCGTAACAACTTCTTACTAGATGCGTCTCCTGAGGCAAGGGAAACAACAGTAAAAATAAACTATTGGGACTACAGCAAAATAAAAAGCCTCTGCACTGCGAAGGAAATCATCAACAAAACTTAAAGGCAACCTATGGAATGGGAAAAGATATTTGCAAATGCCATACCCAATAAAGAGTTAGTTCCCAAAATATATTTTAAAAAACCCCGTAAAACTCAACATCCCCAAAACAAATACTCCAGTTAAAAAATAGGCAGAAGACAAGAACAGACATTTCTCCAAAGAGGACATCCAGATGGCCAACAGACACATGAAAAGATGCTCATCATCACTTACCCTCAGGGAAATGCAAATCAAAACTACAATGAGATATTACCTCACACCTGACAGGATGATTAAAGTCAACAGCACAGGAAACAACAGGTGTTGGCGAGGATGTGGAGAAACCCAAGAGGGTTCCCCTATCTATCTTTTAAAAGTGATAATGATAGAGATATATAAAGGAATGATAAGAGGAAATCATTTAATAATTAATAATTTAAAAGAAATAATGACAGAGATAACATCAATGTTACTTTAGCATAGTAGTCTAAAACCTCAAAAATATGTACCTCAAAGGGAAAATGTTATTCATAGTTTATTATCGAGGAAAAAAAAAGTAGAACCATTCTGAGGCCCTCTATGTAAATGATCTCATCTTCAACCACGCACTTCTAGAATACTTTTTCTTTAATGAGCCATTTTTTATACTTTTCATGTGTATTTAACATGACAAATTTAGACAGATACAAAAACAAAAAGGATAATGGAAATAGAATGCTACATGTATTTAAAAGATTCATGAGCAGGGACAGAGGAGGCTTTCTCATCAGTCGCCTGGCACCCTGCAGAAGGTGCATAAATCATAGATCTTGATTTTCTTTTAGGAAATAACAGTTATCATTTAATCTTTGGTGTTTTAGTTAGAATAGAAGTTTCAAAAAAAGAGACTGCTGATCACAGTGTCATACAAATGTGTCAATCAAAGTACTGGGGTAATTAAGTTATCTCTTTGATTCCCCTATAGGCTATTCTAATTAGCATACAAGCACTTTCTTAATTCGCTGTAGTCACCAAGGACAATGTGATTCTAACAGCTGTGTTTGTTATTTTACTGCCTGACAGCAAATTTTATTTGCTGTTTTATTGACTTGGAATAAAAATACATAATTGATTACCCATAATCAATCTGTTACAAATCTGGCTATGGGAAAAGGGTTAATAAATCATATAGAAACTTACTGGTTAATCAAGTTCATTCTCAATGACAGACACTCCTGTCCCCATTCTTCTGCAAGAGCACAGCCCCACTTGACCGGCTTCTCTACTCTTCCCCTTTGAAACCTGAGTGACTGGGCAAAGCTGACCCCACCCCAGCTCATGAGATGAGACAACAGTAACCAAAATAAAATGATAGAAACCAAAGTACTACCATCTCTTTGGCCAGAGACTGGTTTCATTGCGCAAGGTTAAGCTAATCAAGACTTACTGGGCGTTTCAGCTAAATTGGCTAATTAGTCCAGAGGAACTTTCATTCCACAGTGATGGTAAAGCTCCTTTCTCTGCGTCTTTCCCTGACTCTCTGTTTGTCTATCTTCATGCAAGGCAAGGACAAGAAAGCATGCCACCCCAGTGGCCGCCCGTGCGCCTCTCAGGAAGGAAGCCAGTTAACATATTGGAAAGGCCCTGACCCTCCCCTGTCTGAGCCCTTCCTACCTTCTCATGTCTTGTTATAAGAGATGAAACACTTCTTTATGGTTAAAAGTACTGATCCCCATGTAATAGGCATGCTGGTGGTGACTGCCCCACTTGGAAGAACGATGGGACTTACACACCTCAACTCCCCGCAACACTCTGGCTGCAGAGGCAAGGACCACGGGGAGATCGATGGCAGGATGAGGCCCCACAGGTCCCAACTGCATCCTAGTCTCAGCTCTCTGTTCTCACAGGTCCCGGTTCTCCTGCCTGTGCTGGGGTGAGTAGATTTTCTGGTTGTCTCAACCAAAAGAAGTCATCATTAGCCCTGATAGGTCAAGTTCCTTCAGGAACCAACACACCCAGACTTGAAATTGATCCAAGGAACCTTGCCTACCTTGGGCATGCAGATCACCAAATGCCCTGTCGTCTGAGATCGTTTGGCAGAGCTGCTGTCAGGCTTGACTTCTGCAGGAAGGACAAGCTGGAATGGCTGAAAATAAACAGGAAGTATCCCAGAGAGGGAGTGCATGTCACGTGAGAGGGTTACTTCAAGATGTATTTTCATTACCAGTTCAAGATTCACCATTCCATTTTTAAAAACATGCTGAGACTTAGTAGGAAAAAAAAAATGTCTGGGCTATGCTTGATATGCATGAACTATTTTACCTATTTTAGTGAATGGACTAAAGAACAGTCAAAATCACAAACAGTGAAACAGTCATTGGTCCATTTATGTTAACATGGCTAATAATAAAGAATTTATAGATAAAACTTCTTGTCATAAACCATCAACATATTTCCACTTTAAAGCCTTCATATGACTCCTATGAGTGCTCATAATCAGCAAAAAAATACTATTTCAGGGGTGCCTGGGTGGCTCAGTCGGTTAAGCATCCGACTCTTGATTTCAGCTCAGATCATGATCTAGGGTTGTGAGATCGAACCCACATTGGGCTCTGTGCTGGGTGTGGAGCCTGCCTAAGATTCTCTCTCTCCCTCTCCCTCTGCCCCTCCCCCTGTTGCATTTTCTCTCTCTCTCTTAAAAAAAATACTATTTCAAAAATAATAAAATTACAGTTGCTATGAATGAAATGATTGACAATTTAAAGGGGGGTATATTATTTAAATCTAAGTTCAAGCATAGGCTATCATACATATAATCACCTTATCAGATCTGAAAGAAGTACTAACAATAGACACAAGTTAAAAATGCTAATTTCATGGAGCTACACAGTGGTTAGTCAACAACCAATCTTGCTGTATACCACTCCCACTGTGTAAAATCATGTGTCTAAAAAATAGCTCTCTGATTGGGCTTCTTTTCTTCTCTTTTCATATTATGTTGACAATTTTTGAGGCAACCTAGCTTAGTTTGAGGCTTGGCTTTTGAAACTGTAACAGTCTACCGCATTATGCTCACCTTTCCTTTGACCATGACTCGGACATAAGTTGGCTGCACATCAACATTGATTAAAGAGGTGTCCATATACCTGCAACGTGAAACATAACAAATCTTACCATTTTCAGAAACATTAAGTTAAAAGAAGTGCAAATAAAAACTACCATTTCCGGAACCATTTGAAATGAAAGAAGCTTCCAATTTCCATGCTCAACAGGTCTTAAGAAATCTGTCTTACATTAATCCCTAAACCAAAGGAAATTCAATATATCAGCAATTTCATTTTTAGACCCACAAGTACTCTTGGCATTGATTGCCCCTAACCTAAAAATATCTGCGGCCTGAAACGCCAGAGGTTTGCGAAAAACAGCTTGCCATGTTCTTTCATGAATATTTTATTTTAAGCCCCTGCGCCTGACGTGAATAGCCAGGAAAGCTGAATCCACGACGCTTGGGGCCTGCAACCAGCAGCTCCTGCTTCCCGAGCCGCTCTCCCTCCCCTGCAGCTGTTCCGCAGCTGCCGCCATGACATCCTGCTCAGCTTCTCCCTGCTTCTCCCTGCAAAGCCCCCTCCTGCTGAACAAGCAAAGCCTTCCATTTATGGCAGTGACCCCAGGATCAGGGGGTGACAGTTCTCCTTGACCTGAGGAACAAACAAAAGAGTTAGGCTTCATCTCACTTGTTTAGACGAATTATCAGACGTTGTAGAGGTGTACATTTAACAATATTGATCGTGGACATTAGCAAATGCAGGGATGATTCAAAAGTCACACACGTTAAGGCAGGGAGGATGATACCAGGGCTATGAGCATGGGCTTCAGTCACACGGACTGTGAGGAAGGGTCTCCACCCCCTCCTGCTCCTTGGACCACGTTCCTCAACTGCTCTAAGCCTCAGGTTCTTCATCTACAAAAGAGGATGTGAAGTGCCTATCCCTTAAGATTGCTGTGAAGACACATGCAGAGTGTCTAGTCCAGAGTCAGGGTGAACACAGCATCGTTCTATTTTATGTAATAAAAATTCTTGTAAGAATAAAAAGTGTAGGCAAGGTTTCCTAAAACCTCATGCTGAATAGCTACGGCATTAATGGATCACATCTTCTTGTCCATGTGTACGGTCTCCTAAAGCGTTCATCTGCCCCCATGTCCAAGGTCTTGGCCTGTGCTGGTCCTCTGCCTGAAACAGCCTTCTGCTGGTTCTCTGCAGAGCTCACTGCTTCTCACCCTTCAACTGTCAGCTCATGTCAGCAGCTTCCCTGACCATCCCCACACTGCCGACCACCAGACTGTGCACGCCATTGGTCTCCACCCCTGAACTCTGGCCCTTCCTGGACAGCACGCTTCTCCCTTTGTAATTACTTATTAGATGCCTGCGTGTTTATTGTCTGTCTCACCACAGGGCCATAAACTCTAGGACAGCAGAGACTGTAATCCGAACATGCCCGTTACAGTCTCCCCGTGCCTGATACATAGTAGGTATTCTGTAGATATTTGCTGGATAAAGACAGGAAGTATATATGAATGAATGAATGAATGAACTTAATTTTCATACATCCACATGCCAATGAAGCTAACAAGGAATTTTAGAGTCATTAGTACAGACAGAATCATGGGAAGGGAAGGATTTTACTACCTAGACAGGAGAAATCTCACCACTCCTTGAAAAAGTACATGGTAGGGGATGGGGAAAGTTTTCATTTGAGGACTGAACGTGAAGGAGCCAAGAGAGCTACAAAGAGAAAGGGGTACACATTCATTAAACTCCAGGAATTTGGCCTAAACATGGAAAGGAGGACTTAAAAGTATGAAACTGAATGTTTAATGAAACACAGCAGAAGGGAGCTTGGGTTGCTGCAGGGACAGAGAACATGGGATCAGCTGGAGAAGAGCTAGAAGCCTTTTAAAGGCAGTGGGCTGGCAGCATGGGGGCAGAAGATTTAATAGGAGGCGTAACGGGGTGGCTCGGCACGAGGAGGAAGGTACACACTAAGAACTAGTCCTTCCTCACAAGAGCCAAAGGTGGAAACAACCCAATGTCATGTACTGATGAATGGATGAACAGAAATGTGGCCCAGCCATACAATGGAATATTACTCGGCCACAAACAGGAAGGGAATTCTGACTCGCTACAACACAGACGAACTCTGAAGATGTGACCCAGAGGTATGTGTGATTCCACTTCTATGACGTATGGGGAATTGGCAAATCTATAGAGACAGAAGGCAGATTTGCAGTTGCCAGGGGCAAGGGAAATGAGGAATGAGTACTTAATGGGTATGGGGTTTCCTTTTTCCCCCCCCCATGAAAATGTCCTGGGGCTCTGTGCTGGCAAGGCTGCTCGGGCCTGGTGAAGTCACTGAGGGCCACTGAATCTCCACTTGAAATGGCTGACAGGGTGAATTTTAAGTGATGTGTATTTTACCACAATTAAAAAAACAAAGAGTTGGCCCTCTGCCTGTAAGTATTTATTTTGACAAGACTTACCCTCCAAAATTTACTCCCTTCTAGATAATTTCAGGATGACAAACCCTCATACTCCACTGGGTTTACTGGGAGATTAGATAAGATAGAGCACACAAAAAAGGCCTTCAAAAGAGAAAGGACTTTATTATCATTCAGGCTTGTAAATGTCCTCTGACTCCCATTACTGGTATTCATTCATTCATTCACTCATTCATTCCTGAGCTCACAGAGCTCCAGGTGCTAGGCGCTGGTGTGGGTGCTGGAGAGACAAGGAAGAAGGAACAAACAAAACAAAGTTCCTGCCTTGCCCACACGTTTTTAGAAATACAAGTAAATGTATGGTTGGTTGGGTAGAAATCAAAAAGCAGGAGAGGTGGAAGGAAGGGCTGGAGCAGAGATATGCGCTTAGATGGGAGGCTGGGCAGAGAGGCCTCTATAATAAAGTGACCTCTGCCCAGAGGCCCGCAGGAGAGGAGGCAGCAAGCCACGTGGAGCCTAGCATGACTGTGGCACAGGCAGACGGATACGTGGGTGCAAAGTCCTGATGCACGGGGGGTCCCAAGGGACTGGAGAATTAGAAAGACCCCATAGGTGGTCACTGAAGTCAGAGGCATGAAGGGCAGTGAGCCAAAACTTAGAAATCCTGAAGGAATGAGGCAGGGTAGGACACAGGGAGGGGGGGAGTGCCTGCTGGAGATAAAGAAGCTGCAGACTACACCCCTGGGTCTCTAAGGTGGGACTGGAAGGCAGCGGGCACCATCTGATGCTTACTATTACATCAAAGTTTTAGAAAAAAGAGAGAGACCGTAAAAAGTACAGTGGTAGTGAGAGCTGAGGGGGAAGCAGTAAAGCTCTGAGAATTATTTAAATTCTGCCTTAGAAGAAGAGATCGCAGAGTTCTTAGCCCTGGGACTGTGGGTTTATTTACTTCTGCCTTTGTTTTAATTTTCATGCTTTTTCAAATTACAATACGTTTTCGGTCTTAAAAAAAAGAAGGACACCTTCATTTGGCAAACCAAATACCATTTCAAAATACTTCAGAGCTCAAGAGATGGCACTGAGAACAAAAACAGAAAGAAATGACATTAAATAAATCCATAATGAAATGTCTTTACCTATAGACAGCAAGGTCCAGGATGATCTGGTTACGTTTTTCATCATCTTTCAAGGAGAAGTCAAGTCTAAGGAATAATCCATTCGGGGAAAAAAAAGACGATGTCTTTAGCAATACTGTATAGATAACTCATCCCATTATCAAAAGTAAACTTGGTAATAATTATATAATAATATCCAATGACAAACTTATTTTGGTAGGTGGACAATAAAATGTCTACATTTTTTAAAAAATTCAACAGAAATCTACAATATATTCATAAATTATTTGTTTACATTGTTAACATGTGAGAATCCTAAGGTAAATAACATACAGAAAATTAGCATTGGTGCAGATATAGAGACATCTGGTGGTTAAAGCTTCCTTTTCTATTTCATTCAAGTTTGCTAGAAGCAAACTAAAACACTGGACTTATTTATGGGGAAGTAAATGTTTTATTTGCTTCCTTGTATCCAGGATTCTATCCCTTTGGTTTTTTTGTTTTTGTTTTTTTAGATTTTATTTATTTTAAAGGTAGAGAAAGAGAGAGAAAGCGAGAGCATGAGCGAGTGAGCACGAGTAGGGAGAGGAGCAGAGGGGGAGGGAAAGCAGACTCCATGCTGGGTACAGAGCCCAATGCACAGCTCCATCCCACGACCCTGAGATCATGACCTGAGCGGAAATCAAAAGTCAGACGCTTAACTGACTGAGTCACCCAGGTGCCCCTATCCCTTCTGTTTTAAATAGTCTTGTCTTCCTTCTTTCTCCTTGCAATCTTTCTTTTTCTCCTTTTGTTGTTGACCTTTGCATCACCCTGGAAAATGCTGAGACACTGCCCGTATCTATCACCTCCATACAGATGATGAAACAAAGGTTCAGGAAGGTTGACTCAACTGGGAAAGAGGCCATATGAGCCTGGAGAGGCAGGATTTCAAAGTCCTACATCTGGGTGGCTCAGTTAGTTAAGCATCTGCCCTTGGCTCAGGTCATGATCCCAGGGTCCTGGGATTGAAACCCACATCCGGCTCCTTGCTCAGCAGGGAGCCTGCTTCTCTTTATCACTCCCCTTCTGCTTGCTGCCCGGCCCGCTTGTGCTCTACCAAATAAATAAATAAAATCTTTAAAAAAAAACAAAGTCCTACATCTTTCAACTTCCTAGGTATAACTTCCATAGTGGCAACATACCATTCAGAATTATTTGGTTGATTTATTTTGAGCACATCACTTGTCATATTATTCTGTAAAATATATAATCCGATAATATTAAAGAGTGTAAGCTAAATTGTTTGGAACGATTTGGCTGTCAGCAGAAAGTCTGTGTGTGGCCGTCCCTCTTGGTGCTTTCAACAACCCAGCCATGCGGGACTCCTTCAGTTGCTCAAATGACCCACGCATTCGTGATCTCATGTCAGGAGCTTTCTTATGTTTGGGCCCCTCTGCCTTCATTGCTTATTCCCCAATTGTCCAGCCAGCCAACTTGAACTCTCCCTTCATTTATCACTTGAAAGGTAATTTCAGAGAGGTTTTCTATAGCAGAAATTGCTATTCATTCCCCACGGTCCACTTCCCCTTTATCCATAGTAATAGGACCCCTGATTTTAACGAGGAACATGGCCGTGCAGAATAAAGACAACACTTTCCAGCCTCCCCTGCAGCTGGATATGGTCATGTGATTTAGCTCTGTGAAGGAGAGCACCTTATGGTGCTCTCCAGGAATTTCCTTAAAGAGAGAGAGTGTGTGCCCTTTCCTCCCTCTCTTCTTCCTCACCCAGCTGAACAGAAGAGATTATGGGAGGCCAAGAAATGAGCCACAGAGACTACTTAGCAAGCTGTTGTAACTGTCTAGGCAAGAGGCAGATGACGTATTCTAAGATGGGGGGGATGGAGTGAGAAGCGGTTGGATTCAGGTGATACTGAAGGAAGAGATCATAGAGTCACTGATAAAATGGCAGAGAGAAGAATCAAGGATGGATCCAAGATTTTTGGTCTTACTAAATGGGGGATGCTCGCTACTGAGTTGGAGAATGTTGGGGGACAAGCGTGTTATGAGGGAAAGTGGTAGTGGGCATGGGAATTAGGACTTCTGTTTCTGTCATGGTAAGCTTACAATGCCTAATTCATATTCACACGGTGAGGACAAATAGCTAATTAAACATCCAAGTCTTGAGTTCAGGGAAGAGTTTGGTCTGGTTATAATGTAAAGACAGTGTTTAAAACCATGGGATTTGGTGAGAGCCCCACAGAGTCAATGTGAAAGGACAAGGCAGCTGAGGAGTTGGCCCGGGAGCACTTAGGTACATCACAAAGAGAATCAGGCAAAGCCTGTGAAGATGAACAAGTAGGATGGTCAAAGAATCAGAAGCAAAGGGAAGAAACTGCTGTAAGAAGGAAGGTAATGATGGGGGCACCTGGGTGGCTCAGTCCATTAAGCATCGACCCTTGATTTTGGCTTAAGTCACGATCTCAGGGTCCTGGGATGGAGCCCTGTGTCGGACTCTGTGCTCAGTGGGGAGTCTGCTTGAGGATTCTCTCTCTCTCCCTCTTCCTCTGCCCCTCTCCCCTCTAAAATAAACAAATAGATCTTTAAAAAAAAAAAAAGAAGGAAGGTAATGATCAATTTGGTCAAATTTGCTGGGTCAGGTACATAGGGCCTGAGATTTGAAATGATGTGACTGAACAGAGAAGCAATGTGAACAGGGAACACAGAGATGATAGAAACATAGAACACAGAAATGATATGAACATATAGAAATGATTTGACTACAAAAGTTTTAGGTGACAGAATATGCAGACATGGTTTCAAGAAGGAAAGTGAAGTGAGGAGCTGATGACTGAGTCCAACATGTCCATGGGAACCTCGGCTACTAAGAGGGGACAGAGAAATAGGACTGTAGCTGCCAGGGAAACTAGAGAAAGGGAGCTTACTTGTTGTTTTTTAAATTTTTTAAATTTTTATTTATTTTTTGACAGAGAGAGAGAGACAGAGAGAGAGGGAACACAAGCAGGGGGAGTGGGAGAGGGAGAAGCAGGCTTCCTGCAGAGCAGGGAGCCCGATGCGGGACTTGATCCCAGGACCCTGGGACCATGACCTGAGCTGAAGGCAGACGCTAAATGGCTGAGCCACCCAGGCGCCCCTGTTGTTTTTTTTTTAGATGGATGATATCACAATGTCTATAAACTGATGAGATGGATCTAGTAGGAGGGAGAGAAATGATACAGAAGAGAAGGGGTCATTGCAGAAGCAAGTCCTTGACAGGAAGAGGGGTGGGATCAGTATGCCCACAGAGAGAGCTACTCAGGAGGGGAAGTTCACCCACTGCAGCAGAAGAATAGAGAATATGTGCTACAGGTCCGGCGACACTGATAAATTGGATGAGAAAACTTCTAATTTCTTCTGTTTTCTCTATGGAGTAAGAAATAAGGTCCCCAGCTGGAACCACAGAACAGAAGTAAGAAGGGAGCAAAAGGGGTGAAAGCAGCCTATGGGAGATTGGAGGAGTGAATTATCCAACAAAATACAGTATGATTTGCAGAAGTCCACTTGAGATACAGGGTAGTAAATTTCCAGTAGACCAGCAAGTAGACACGGGTGTTTTCCTCCAGGCATGCATGAGGGCAAGTCCAGAAATGCGTGTCCGATTTAAATAGGGTTGAGATGAGGATGTGAGAATGAACATAAGGGAAGGAAAGAAGGACAAAAGAGTTGAAGATCCATGTCAAGGGCGAATCTCTGTGATGACAGTCCCTTGCTCCTGGTCCTGGCATAGAAAAGGAAAGGGAAACAAACAGGCTTTGAGCAATGAAATGAAGCCAACAAGATTTAGTCCAAAGGCTTTTTGGTCTGTATTTTGGCTACAAAAGACCTTTTTTTTGCCTTCTTTCTAGTTTTAAATTTTATGACAGCCCGACAGGGTAGATATGATTATCCCTGAGGATTTCTGGTTTGAATATTTCCCTCTCTCATTAATGTCACTGAAGTATCTACATCAGTTTCTTTCCTTGGGCCTCCAGTGCTTTGTAGATGTGTCCCAGAGTGAAAAGTAGACAGACACAGGCGCCTGGGTGGCTCAGTTGGTTAAGCGACTGCCTTCGGCTCAGGTCACGATCCTGGAGTCCCGGGATCGAGTTCCGCATTGGGCTCCCTGCTCGGCAGGGAGCCTGCTTCTCCCTCTCATGCTCTCTGTCTCTCATTCTCTCTGTCTCAAATAAATACATAAAATCTTTAAAAAAAAAAAGAAAGAAAGAAAAGTAGACAGACACATGGGAGAGGTACCAGTATTCTCAGTCAGCTTGTTTATGGCAGAGCTTTAAACATTAAGAAACATAACAATAACGCACTTGGAATTTTCAGGCAGAAAACTGTATATGGTCCAAAGTTTCAGGGGATACATAAATAACTAGGATTTCCAAATGTCAAGATCATGTTCTGAATGCCAAGACAATGAAATATAACATCATGTACTAGAAAACATCATAGATGCTCTGCTTTCAAATATGCACACAGTGACATTCCTATTAGGCTCATCAGGCTTGTTAAGAGCAGTTAGATATATTCTCCACAGAGCAAACCTGCAAATGAAAACCATCGTAATGACCACCACCATACATTCTGCTTCTTCGAGTATCCCTTTGGCCTCACGTACTTGGGATCATTTACATTCAAGGCTTTCCCATCTTTAGTGATCAAAATCCTGGGTGGTTTCACTTTCTTCTTCTTTTCACTTAAGATTGGAGGTGGATGGGAACCAGGGGCAATGCGGAAAGAGAAAAATAAACAAAGAGAATGTAAAAGAAATATTTTTGTGAAACAGTTTAAGAAAAAATTGATCAGGTATCTGTGAATACATCAACAATTCACTGTTATGAAGCCCATTCTTTTAATGTTATGCTGGGAATTGACAATCAAGCCAGATTTCTTTATGATTATATCTATAGCTGTAAAGCAAAAATGTGACCAAGACAATTTGGCAAATAATTCAAATGGGGGGGGGGAGGAGATCCCTCCTTTTCATGAAATATCCATGAATATTTAAATTAGTCTATTTTATGCGTGATTTAGCCAGATAACTGTCAATTCCCCGTTTGTGTATATAGCCTCTGCTTTAGTTAAAAATGATAATTTTTAAAATGCCAAGTAGATTCTATTCTATAGAAATAAAAATACCAGTACATAAGAATCTACATAAAAGGATGTCTATCACAGTCTTAGTAGCGGCAAAACCCCAGAACTATGATGAATGTCTATCAGTGAAGGGGTCATTGGCTCCACTGTGGTATGCTCATGCTATGAAATAGTTTGTGGTTGTTAAAAAATGTGTTTGCTCTTCACCTATTGGTCTCAAAAGTGATAGAAAATGTTGATGATGTTATTTAGTGAGCACAAATACATAAAATATAAGTCCATTTTTGTTTTTTAAAAAAGATCCCAAATCATAGATTTGCAGAGATGATTTATACGATTGTAGAGGGTGGAGAAAGTTCTGGTGGGATTGACCCCAGCCTGTTAACACTCATCACCTAAAGGGGTAGAGACAGGAGGAAAAGAAATGGTGCAGAGAGGAAAGATTCATGGGATAGCATGAAAGAAAAGTGCAGAATGTAAGTTTTAGCTATTTAAACAGTAACAAAGATATATACAAACTTAAAAAGGCATATATGGACGAGCACTGGAAGACCAGATGGAGAAATGTGTTTAGAAGATGGAACTGTAGGCAATTCTTTGCCTTGGATTTCTATTCTTTTAATACGGATTTTGTATCAGTTAACTTTTTTTTGAAATGTAAATTTATGCACATTTTTCTGCATCTTAAACTGGGTCCCCAGGTCCAATAAGTTAATATGTCCATGTACGGCATTATTCTCCATGACCCAGGACAATTAAGGGACATCCAGGAGAGGCAAGCATCTCAGGGACCCATGGGACTGGGTACACTAGAGCATACTGTATGGAGTGACTTGCACTTCTACCCAATTCAGCTGTACTTTATTTTGGTTGTTCGGGAGAGAAAAAAATGTTTCCTGGTTTCAGGCGCAATACAGTGTATTAAACAATGTATTGTACTATAAATACATTTTATCTGTGTATACATATATACACACGATGTGTATATATGCGTGTACATTGCATATATGTCAGAAAGATGACACGTATTATATAAAAACATGTCGAATTTCCATTTCAGAAGTTTCTTAAGTCTGCAAAGTACTTTTACACATTGGCTCCTATGATTGTCTTAACAATGTAGTGGGGGAGGTAAGGCAGGGACAAGAATCTCTGTTTAGCAGACGAGGAAACAGATGAGAAGTTAGGTATTTGCCAGCATCCCATAGACAGTAAGTGGCAGAGTCGGCACGTGAGCCCACATTTTCGGATGCTATTCCAGTGCTCTCCCCAAAGCATGGGGTGGCTTCTCTGTGTACAAACTACCACATTTTACAAACAAGCATTTTGGATAAAATTCAATTTTGATACCTCCCTATCATCTAACTAAAGAAATAAAATGGCATGAAAGCAGCAGCGATTGCTAATAGTCTTTTTTGTTTTTATTTTTATTTTAATTATGTTATGTTAGCCCAGTGGTGGGTATTAAGGAGGGCATGTGTTGCATGGAGCATTGGGTGTTATACACAAAAAATGAATCATGGAACACTACATCTAAAACTAATGATGTACTGTATGGTGGCTAATAGTCTTTTTTAATCTTTTAGGTTCTTGCTTTCAGTCGATAACCACAGGGAAAGACACTGTCCTTCACTCTCGTGACTTCCATGCAGACAGACGTATATCAGAGCTAAATGATCCCATTCCCAAGCACAGGAATTAGAAGTATTTCCATAAGTGGTACATTTTACATACTAGACCTGAGCAATGACATGAAATGACACAGAGCTTAGCTTTTAAAAAGCCTCTCTGAGAATAACAGTTTAAGCATTCTAGCTTCTAACAAATCATCAAATTATAGCTAAACAATTCAGAAGTGAAAGCATACTGGGGAATGTCCAAGAGAGTTGTATTAGGAAAATATAAGGCCTAGTGAAACTAATTTCTAACTTTGCAAATTACGAGACACAAAGGAACTTATTCATCCCTTTTCTTGGTGGCATGATAATCAGTATCTCTAACCCGGGCCATACTTGCATTTGATTCACTGAAAGTTGTTAAAAAATTAAAGACATCCAAACAAAACTACCTAAAATGCCATCATTCATGACATCCTAAAGAATGGAGTCTGATATTAGCAAACATTACTAGGTACAATGCAACAGGAAGCTGAACCTAGAAGAAGCAAAGTCAATGCGTGATCGCTAGCAAAGATTGAATGCAGATGAGGAGCAAAATCATGTGCAATCATGAAAATATAATCCCTAGGAGAGTATTGTATCTCTCTCAATGATAGGAAAAAGTGAAATACCTTAATTTTTCTTGGTCTTTCCGTTGTTTTTCCATATGCCTAAGTGTTTCCAATCGAGATTCAGGAGTAAACAAAGAGGGCTTGTTCCAGAATTCCAGGTCATCTTCGCTGTCCTTGAACTTCTTTTGGTTGCATTCTCCTTCTTGTCCTTCTGGTGCCTGGATGTGGTCTTTGCTCTCTACTGAAAATGGGCTTGGAAAGAATGAATAGATCCAGAGCGTGTAAGACCAATACTGGGTGTCATTGAGTTTTGTACTCAATGCTGCCCCTAAAATCTCTTACACATTTTTCTTAGGTTATCGTCTTACCTTTGAATGACAAGACATCTCTGAAAGAGAGCCTATGTAAGCCAAGGTGGATGAAAGTACTGCCCCAACTGGGGTAGGCCCTCATCATCTAACACAGGGCACACTGCAGTGCAGACGGAAGGGCTCCCAGGCCTGGCTGATGAGAGTCACCTGGGGAGCCTTATGAAGACCACAGATGCCTGAGCTCGCACCAGAAAGTCTACTCAGTAGATGTGGGCTTGGGCCCAGGAATCTGTGTTTTACGATATTTTGCAAGAGGTTCTGATGATCAAACTCAGAAACCACTGGGCCTTCCCAATCAGCCTACCTCCACTCTGGCACTCCTCAGTTCCATCCTCCACACTGCTCCCAGAGGAATCTTTCCAACAGGCAACTTAGATCAGATTATATCCAGGTTCTTTAATGATCCTCTAGCTCCAAAATTCTCTAGTGGGATATATGAGATCTTCCGTGGTATGGCCTTTTATGGATAACTTCTGATGTCATAGCTTTAGATTGTAACAGTACTGTGTTCTCTTTTTTATTCATGTTTTGTGGATTGTCAGAGAGTTTAATGATGTCTCTATATGATACCAAATGGGCATATGGGGTATTCGACATTCATTCAGTGGATTCAAGAAGTATTTATTGAGCATCTTCGGTGTGCCAGGCACAGACAATGACACTATTTTCAGGAGATGCTATTCTAGCAGAGGAAAAATGACAGCATTCAAACAGTAAACACTGGGAGCTTCTCTCCCCACAGCTCTCCCTGCAACATACACTCTCTTTCAAAATGATGTTACATGAAAAAAACCACGTGAAGCCTTCAGCACCAAGTATGGCAAATGGTAAGTACTCACTAAATGTTACATTTTATTGTTGGTACAAAATGAGATGACACCAAAGGCTCGTTTAGTTGACCTTCAAATAAGATGCTTTCTGAAGGGATGGGCCAAAAACACTAGAATGTGAAATTTAAACAGTATAAACAGAACACAGAGTAAGATTCTGCTTACACTTTGTCACATATTACAAAATGTAGATAGTTTAATAAGCAAAATCATGCAAATTGCTGAAAACGAATGTTTTACCATATAGCTACAGGTCTTTATGGTGTTAAAAAGGCAATCTATTCAGGGGATCTATACTATTCTCCAACATTCTAGGTAATCATCACTGAAATAATTGGTTCCATTTTCAGTTAAAAGAATTTGTTTTTGCTGGAAACTAATTGGCTCACTTTTATCTTTTGCAATGTAAAAAAATAATAATAAACATAAAAATAATTGCACTTCAGAAAAACTATAGAAATATCAGCTAAATAACTTAAGCCTCCAAAAGCAAAATGTATGTAAATGCACACAGCTGGGTGATGAAGCAGACTGAGCTCATTAGGATATGAACAATGTGCTCTTCAGCCACTTCCTTCAAAGCTGTGCTCTCAGAACTCTCTTCCCGCTCATGAGCACATCCCACAGCCCAACAGTCCCCAAAATAGTCCCATCTCAGCTAAAGGTATTAAAGGCCTCCAGTTCAAATAAAACTTCACTTACATCCAAACTGAAGCCCTACACCTCCCTTTCCAAACCCTCCTCCCCTCTCCCAATTCATGACTGGGCTGTGCGTGGGGAGAGGGCTACTCCAACTTCTCATTGCTCATCTACTCCTTCCCTCTGTTTCCCACCTCATGGGCTTTTTCAGGTCCCCCCTGACTTCAGAAATTTGGGCCTGGGACAAAGGATGGGGACAAGGAGGCAAACACCTCTTCTTCTTCTTTTTTTTTAAGATTGTATTTATTTATTTGACAGAGAGAGACACAGCAAGAGAGGGAACACAAGCGGGGGGAGTAGGAGAGGGAGAAGCAGGCTTCCTGCTGAGCAGGGAGCCCGATGCGGGGCTCAATCCCAGGACCCTGGGATCATGACCTGAGCCAAAGGCAGATGCCTAACGACTGAGCCACCCAGGCACCCGCAAACACGTCTTCTGAGACAGATGCTCTTAGACCTTGGCTTCTGGCTCCCTCTCTAGGGCTAATGCCCAGTTACTGGCTTTCTCTTATGAGCACATTTATTGGTTCTTAGTGATATTACAATAGCCTTCCAAGTCCATTGTTCTCTGTCAGAGTGATCAACATACGACCCAGCTGGCTGTGTGTGACAATTCCTCAGCTTCTGCCACTGACAATCCACCCCATGGTCTCTTATTGCCACCACTCTCTTGGGCAGTAGCCCTTCAAAGACAGCTCAAGTGCAGTTCCTTCTACCATATGTACTTGGCCCATGGGATATTCACAAACCCTTGCCATGACAGATGCTTGAAGTATAAGCTGATTCCATTAATGCCCACTTTCCTGACCCTTTTGCTCTAGGCTATTCCAGGACACATCTCATCTCTTCAATTCTTTTTTTTTTTTTAAGATTTAATTTATTTATTTGACAGAGAGAGACAGCAAGAGAGGGAACACAAGTAGGCAGAGTGGGAGAGGGAGAAGCAGGCTCTCCGCTGAGCAGGGAGCTCGATGTGGGGCTCGATCCCAAGACCCTGGGATCATGACCTGAGCCGAAGGCAGGTGCTTAATGAATGAGCCACCCAGGCGCCCCTCATCTCTTCAATTCTTAAGGCTGGAAGCAAGCTTCAGATCTAGTCAAGGGATGAGATGCTTGTCTCCCCTTCTTGCAGCCCTGGCATCTTTATGGTATTTCTTCTTGCAGTCTTGAAAGGGGAGTAGTGCCCTACTCCTCTTTAAGTCAATGATTCACTATCTCAATGACCTTCCTCCAGAATGTCTGGGTTTCTGTTCAAATAGGTGGAATGCAGTCATAGGAGCAATGGCTGAAGGACCAGCCAGTCAGTCCTGTGGGGAAGCAAGTAGGCACCTGCAAAAAACCCAACTGTATGCTTCTACTCAACGCAAGCAACAGATCATTTTAAACATTTGTAAACTTGTATAAACCAAGAAGAAGAAGAAATGATCCCCAACACAATTCATGTGCCTATTATAACTTTGATGTAAAACACTGGGGAAAATACAATGAAAAAAGAATATTACAGCATAAACTCACTTATGAATACAGGTTTAAAAATTATAAATAAAATATTAGCAAAATGAATGCAGAAATCTATTAAAAATATGCCATGGATAAAGTGAATCTATTCTGGAAATTCAAGGATGGCTTAATATTGGAAAATCTATTCATGTGACTCAACACATTAATAGACACACATGGCTATCTCAATAAATGCAAAAAAAGCATTTCATAAGATCCAGTATCTGTGATGGTAAAAGCTCTTCATCAATTTGGAATCAAAGGAAACCTACTTAGCTCTACCTAAAACCCCACAGCAAACACCTTAGATTGGAAACATTCTTTTTAGAGTCAGAACTAGGTAGATTCTCACTCTTACTGTGGCTATCTCACTCTGTACTGGAGGCCTTAGCAGGCACCATAAAGAAAATAAAAAAGCAGAGGCATAAGGATTGGAAAAAAAATTTTTTTTAAGATTTTATTTATTTGAGAGAGAGAATGAGAGAGAGCACATGAGAGGAGGGAGGGTCAGAAGGAGAAGCAGACTCCCTGCCGAGCAGGGAGCCCGATGCGGGACTCGATCCCGGGACTCCAGGATCATGACCTGAGCCGAAGGCAGTCGCTTAACCAACTGAGCCACCCAGGTGCCCAGGATTGGAAAATTTTTTAAAGTTGCTGTTTATAAAAAAAAAAATGTGTTCTATATAGAAAACACAGGATCATTTACAGACTAATACCACATCTTTTTAAAAAGGTCAGCAAGATTGCCTAATACAATATCAGTATACAGAAGTCATTTGTCTCTTTATACAACAGCAAGAACCAATTATAAGAGTATTTTAAAAATCCCATTCTACAAGATACTTAGAAATAATCTAATAAAAGATGGTGTAAAACCTCTATGGAGAAAATTACAAAACCTTATTGAAGGACTCAGAAGAAGGTCTAAATAAATAGAGAAAGCTATTCCAAAGTTCAGCAAGGAAAAAATCAAAGTCATGAAGATGTCAACTTTCCCCTAATTAACATATAAATTAAATGCAATTTCAATCAAAATTACACTAGGGATTTTTAGGGAATTTGAATAGCAGATTCTAAACTTCTTACAGAAAAGTAAAGAGCTAGGAACAGCTGAGATCAATTTGAAAAATGGGAAAAGCTCCTACCAAATACCAAGATTTACCATAAATCTATAGATATTAAAACCATATGAAGGTGCATCCGTGAAGCAGTCTAGGGAGCCCAGAAATGGACCCGTGAGCGCACAAGGAGAGGGTATATGGTAAGGGTGGTGTTACAGATCAGAATAATAGCGTCTTAATGATGGTGCGGACAACTGGCCACCCATATGGGAAATGGCTGGTAACCTACCCCACACTGTAGTCAAAGGCTAATTCCCCATAGACAGATACGACACTGGAATAATGAAAAATTTCATAAATGCGACCAAAAAAATACAAAAATAAACTTAACTACGTTACTATATTTTTGAATTCTATAAAGCGGAAGCACTTATAAAAATTAAAGATAAGTCGAAGGCTGGAAGAAGATATTTGCAAGGCACATAACTGCTAAAGAATTTGCACCTAGGATATAAAAGAACTATAAATCAATAATAAAAAAAAAAACCTTATAACTTACTTAAAATAGGCAGAGGACCTGAAGAGAAGAAATATGAATAGCCAATAAAAATAGAAGCAGACATCTAAGATACGGATACTCACTAGTAATTCTAGGAATGCAAATTAAATAAAATATTAGGTGGTATTTAACAACCAACATGATTGGTCCATGTTCTAAAATATCATATTATCTAGTGGTGGCAAGGATTAGGAACTCTTCTATACTGTTGATATAGGAGTATAAATTAATGCTGTTCAAAAAATTGGGCAATGAATATAAAGTGGAAAAAACGTTCTTAATTAATGATGTGGCAATGTCTCTGCTGAACACTCTAGAGAAACTTTCATACCTGCATGAGGAGGCATGTGCAACATTGTCCGAAGAAAATGAAAGCAGGGAAACGATCTAAATGACCATCCAATGAGCGATGGCTGCACCAGGGCTGATCTCCAGCTGGCAACCACCAGGAGGGCCCCTGCAGGCTGTGAGAGCTGGTGCGCATCCTGATCTATCAGGGCCAATGAGTCACCAGCTGTCAGGTATTTTGAACATCACCTCTGGGATAAATTGTGATTTAGTCATCCAAAGGAATGTTATTCCCCAGTTAGAATGAATGAACTAGCTCTACCTGTCTTTATATGTAAAAATCTCAAAAACATAACGTTGAATGGAAAGCAAAGTTGTAGAAAGATATCGTTTGTGAGAAAAAAAAATACACACAGCCACTCTTGTTCAAGGAGGCATAATTACATCATAAATATATTTCAAATATATATATATATGGATGGGATCACATATACCAAATATGCACTTAACTCTTAGGATGGTGGACCCACTGAAGATGAAAGGAGAATGGGATAGACTCTCAGGGATATTTTATTTCTTATTTTTAAAAAGATCCAAAGCAAACATGCAAACTATTGATACTTATTAAATCTGGGTGGAACTATAGTGTCTATTGATTTTTAAAACATTTATGTATGTCTCAAATATTTTATAATTATTATTTTCTAAGATTAAGAGATGCTGTTTTCAAAATATTTAAAGCTTTCACTATATGGAATCAAATCAACTTGAATAAGCAATTCACTTAAACAAGCTTGAAAATTTATGCTTGTATAAAAGACCAATTCAGAGGCTTATTAATCACATTAGAATGTATTCATTATATAATTCACAAAACAGAATATTTTATGATGTAATCAAAATTATTTGACTTATAATAATGTGATTTACATTTAACTTTTCTAAAATATCTCCACTATTTTAAATCAAAGTACACATGTCAATTCATTTTTCCTATGCATCTTATAGAGATTTGTCTGAGGATAATCTTAGATGCAAATTAAATTTGCTAGCTTGGAAAGGCATTTTTTTCCTAAGGGAGGAAAGCCTCAGAGAACTGACCCAAACAATGAGACGTTCCTACTCTTTCCTCCAAAATTCACATCACAATTTATTCTTCAAATCAACCATCTGAAATATGATACCACGAACACTTTGGGAAGTGAAAATAGTTTGCTGCTTTTAACCAAAGTTAAGTAGAAAGTAAGCTCTCGTAATTTGGTTGTGCGTAAGTAGCCCTGATGTCTGCGTACCTCTGTCCCTCAAAGCCTGGGTAACTTCTCCCCTTGGCTTCATTTTCCTCCTCTTCTCGCAGGTTCCTCTGAGCCTCTTCCTTGTCTTTGGCTCGTTTGAGGCAGTAAGCTTTCTCTTGCTCTCTGATTTGTTGTTCAATTACTGGAAAGTTCTGCAATGCCTGGATCCTTTCTGATCGCTCTATTTCCTTACCGTCCAACCACTTGAATAAAAAACAACCAACATGGCGCAATTATTCAAAAGTCACAATTCAAATCAGCCCCAAGTTGACTTTGATTGGAATATTGTGAATTTAGAAACCATAAGTAATGCACCATAGTGATGCGGAATTAAAAGCAAAGTAATTAATGGGAAACATCAGGAACTTTGATCAAAATCATTTATTTAATACAATTAACAGGGTTACAAAGTATCTTTACTGGTAAAAAAAAAAATAAGTAGGTCTTCTGTTGAAACTAATTAGTAATGACAAGCTCTCAAAATATATTGATTTTGTAACTGTTCGCTATATGAAGGCCGTCAAAGCCTCAAGTCAAACCACAGCTCCAAAGTGTAACAATGACACGTTGCAAATGCTCTTGACAAAAAAGGGCCTTGTGTGTTACACCAGTTGGGCTCTAGTACAAATGGGCACATGTTCTACCTTCAGGAACAAGATGCACACACTACACTGTTAACTGTTACGGTCACTGTTTATATCTGGTGTTTTTATAGTGATTTTCCAAGCTGAAATATTAAAATAATTATCTGGATGGGCCCAGTGTAATCACAAGCGTCCGTATAAGGGAAAGTACCAGGATCAGTAAAATTATAAATCAAAATTATAATGTGGATATTTGGAAAGGTAATTTACAGTACATTTTGGGTATAAGGACTCATACGGGCTGCAGGTTTCCGGCACCTGGCTGGCAGCTGCCACAGCTTTCAGCCTGAGCGCACCGCAACAACGGGGGCTCCAGCACCCCTCCGGGGAAGTGGCTTATAGTGGTACGCTACAGGATCCATTCCTGCGATACGCGGGTTCTTACCAGTTCAATTTTTTAGTACGTCGTTCGTTGTATAATGATGATCAGCTTGGGTTATGCTTGAGCTAATTTATCATTTTATTATAAATATGTATTCCAGATTCAATTACCTGAGGCACTCATTCTCTTAATCAAAAAAAAAATTACATTAGGCGAAATGCGTTCCATAAATCCAGCGATCTCGACTATGCAGAACACAGCAGCCTAAAAACAAATGTCCTCTGAGAATAAAAGGAAATGCCTATCACGAAGCCAACGCATCCCTGCATTTTTTTTTGCAGAAGCATGGGGCTGCACGCAGGTCTGAAACTCTGGGAATTACATGAAAATTAACATTACTAGTTGAACATAATCGGGTATATGATTTCTCTAGAAACCATCTGTTTTTCCCCAGGTTTCAAAAACATTAGGTGAGGGGAGATAGAGCATTACAGGTTAACACATAGAGCAAAGGCTCTTGAATGAGGTCCCTGGACCAGCAGCATCAGTGCTATCTGAGAGTTTATTAGAAGTGGAAAATCCTGGGTGCCAACATCAGACCTATGAATCCGAAACTCTCGGGTGTCACCCAGCAAACACCACGCAAGAATTCCAAAGCATAGCAGAGTCTGAGAACCACTAACATAGAGAATGAGTTAAGAGAAAGCAATGAAAAAAATTTATAAAAGCACAGTAGTTTAAGACAACATAACACAAAGGTATCTAGCTGTCATCATCTCAAAAACTCTAAGCTTTTGGTTTGCTATTAGTAATGATGAATGCCCTCCATGACTATGATTTGTGTTCAAGAAATAGTTCAGCTAAGCTCCATTGTGTTCTAAATGAGAAAGGAGAAAGGTATTTAATTTATTTTTCAAAAGTTTATTAAAGCTATTAAAACAACTTTAAAGTTCCAGTAAATCGAAGGATTAGTTCTGATTTTCTGGAATATTCCACACATTCCCTAACAATGCTGTGAATTAACAGGCATTATTGCAGTTGCTTGTTTTCATTTCTCTGAGATTTCTGCATCATTAAAATAAGCATACCTTTAATTGTTGAAGAGTTGCCACCACGAACTGCCTGTAACCATCAAAGTCAGCACACGGGTTGCCCATGAGAAAGAGCTCCTTCAGGTGGATATTGTGCTGAAGGGTTTTAATGCTGCTCAGCTCTCCAATGAAATTTACAGTCAGGTCGAGTTTTGTCAGCCCTTCACATCCTGTTGAAAGAAGTAAAAAGAAAATAAAGCAAAAAAAAAAAAAATCACACTGGTAATGAAACGTGTGCAACAGCTCATGGCAGGAACAACTGCAATATTTTTAAGTATGCTGATTAATTGCATGGCTTACCAATAAGTGGATTTTCAGAAATACCAACTCAAAGGTTTAGCCCTGACTCGCTTCTCTATGTGCATTTCCCCGTCGCCCCTCCAGCCAGGGAAAATCACTTTCGCTGTCCATATCTGCAAGCCCTGGGCTGGGTAACATAAGGATTTGGTCACTATGTACTGCTAGGGTGGACACGACAGCAAAACAAAGCTCCTCTAGAGAGGACACCTGCAATCTGTTCTGAGAATTTTGTCAGGTAGGTAGGACACATCTCGCCATGAAGGGTGATGGTTGGGAGGGGTCCCCAAAAGGAAAGGCAGTTCGTAAAACCCAGGCATCAGAATTAATATTTACAAAGTCACACCGAAGAGACAGAATGACTCCAGGACCGCTAAGAACTGCACTGGAAGTATCAGCAAATGTTAAGAGTGAGAGTTTGGTCCTCAGAGGAGTAATAGAAAAAGGATGAGTCATGGATGCAAAGATGGTAGTAAATCTGCCCCATCCACCTTCATTATAGAGATGGCTGGATGCTACAGAAATTTCGGTCGACTCCCTTCACTCACGTCCCATGGGAGCTTGCTAGTTAGGAATGCAGACTTTAGAATTAGGCAGATAGGAGTTCAAGTTCTGTCTTGGTCATATCCTTGCTGTGTGATGTTGGATAAGTTATGAGCCTCCGCCTTTGCTTCTGTGGTATTAAAACAGCATTGGTACCCAATCAGGGGCTGCTGTGAGGACAATATAAGATGATTCATGTCAGGTACTTAGCACAGTACCTGCCACCTAGAGAGCTTCAGTAAACACTAGCTAGGATGAGAAATAACCCAATAACCACTCTTAGGATTATGTTGAACAATGTGCTTATGGGGGAAGAAGGATGCTTGCTCTCTCGTGAGCAGAGAGTTTGCAGTTCCTTGCTGTGGACTTAGGAAGAGTTGACCTGGTTCATATAGCAGCCTCTGTGGGCTGGGCTCAGCAGAAGGCTGTCTCCCCTGTGGCTGGCTCATGCTTGTTGGATCAACCTGGCAGATTTTGTGGCCATTAATACCGAGAGAGCCATTTCCAGCTGAAAACCCAGCCCCACCTTGTTGTGCCCTCATTTCTTCAAACATCTACCTGCTCCAGCCCTCCCCTATGCTTCCTGATTATATCTCGCTTTTCTGTTGTCTTGTGGCTATATAACGTAGGGCAAGCTTTGGTTCCTGATACAGTAACTTCACCAGTACGATTTGATTCAGTTGGATTCATAGCTCTGCAACCGCGTCACCTTTAGCAAGGTTCTTCTCATTGCTGAAGGCTTAATGTTGGAAACAGCTTCATTAAATGCTAGTATTCTCTCATCCTTACCCTTTCTTTTTTTTTTTTTTTAAAGATTTTATTTATTTATTTGAGAGAAAGAGAATGAGAGAGAGCAAGCACATGAGAGGGGAGAGGGTCAGAGGGAGAAGCAGACTCCCTGCCGAGCAGGGAGCCCCATGCGGGACTCGATCCAGGGACTCCAGGATCATGACCTGAGCCGAAGGCGGTCGCTTAACCAACTGAGCCACCCAGGCGCCCTCATCCTTACCCTTTCTTGATGTTAGCATCTGACTCCATCATGTCCAGAATTCCAAGGTTTCCTCCAATCTAATCATATCCCAAACTAGAATCTTCCAAATAAGATAGTTCTACCTTAGTGCTTCCAGATGTAGGGCCTCACCCTAGAGTCATCCCTCCATGCGTTCATTCATTCATTCATTCATCCAGGAGTTAATGGGTACCTGCTATGACCAAGTTACTGAGCCAGGTCTTCAAGATAAAGTGGTTAAAAAAATCCATGGCATTTCACCTCAAGCTTATGTCTAATATGGAGAAAGGAGAAAAAAGATATGCAATCTAGGAAAAAAAAATTCCTGGTGAAAGAAGTGAATCTGAAGAAGCAGGCAGAACCAGAAGTAGGCAATGCCTATTGTTATAAGCCAGCCTAAATTGATATGTACTGGTTCTTTCTCCATCCCCATTCATTGTTCAGCCCATTGGTTTTGGCTTCCATCCTCAATATTCTACTAGATTTGCTCCCCTAAAGGTGATGAAAGAGACCTTCATGTTGACAAATCTAACAGACCTTCTCAACCCATTATGTCACTAGAACAGTCCACGCATATGGCATGATTGACCATAAATTCTTTTTTTTTTTTTAAGATTTTATTTATTTATTTGAGAGAGAGAATGAGACAGAGAGCATGAGAGAGGGGAGGGTCAGAGGGAGAAGCAGACTCCCTGCCGAGCAGGGAGCTCGATGCGGGACTCGATCCCGGGACTCCAGGATCATGACCTGAGCCAAAGGCAGCCGCTTAACCGACTGAGCCACCCAGGCGCCCGACCATAAATTCTTTTTAAAAAACTTTTCTAGGGTGCCTGGGTGGCTCAGTTGGTTAAGTGGCTGCCTTCAGCTCAGGTCATGATCCCAGGGTCCTGGAATCGAGTCCCGCATCATGCTCCTTGCTCAGCGGGGAGCCTGCTTCTCTCTCTGCCTGCCACTCTCCCTGCTTGTGCTCTCTCTCTCTCTGTGTCAAATAAATAAAATCTTAAAAAAAAAAAAAACTTAAAAAAAATTTAAAAACTTTTCTAAAACTTTTAGTTTTCTTTTTATCTTTATTTATTTTTAAGTTCTTGTTTTAATTCCAGTTAGTTAACAGTGTTATATTAGTTTCAGGTATATAATATAGAGATTCAACAATTCCATGTATCACCTGATGCTCATCATGTCAAGTGCACTTCTTAACTGACCATGAATTCTCTCTGAAATGTCTCAGTTGTCTTGGAAACAATGATACTACTCTTTCCTTCTCCTCTTTTATAATGCAGCTTATTACTCTTGGTCCTTTTTACAGACTTTTCCACTCCATCAATGGTAATATATCCCAGATTTCCATCCTTGACCCAGTATTCTCTCTCCTGTTTCTCTTGATGACAACAGTCATGTTCCCAAATTCTGATGAGTCCCAAACAATAACTTCATAGCTGATGATCCAACTGAATGTCATACTCCTACTTCCAAATGTCTGTAAGACATCCCATTCAATATGTCTAAAAATGAACTCTTCATATTTTCTCTCACTCTCCACTCCTCAAGACAGCTTTCCTGCTGCCTCCTTGATGTCTAAATCCTATTAATGTCATCACCATTTTGGTATCAGATGCCAAGAGTCAAGTCACAGCTAACTTGAGTGTTAACCTAAAATGCTCTCTTAGCCCCTTCACTTCATCAATCACCAAGCCCCGCAGAACTCAACCCCTACATTCTTCCCACCTACTTCTTGTCCACTGTAATCCTATAACCAACAGGCCAGCTCAGGTTCCTATTCTCTTGTGCATGAAATATGGCATATCTCCTAAGTCATCTCCCTATATTTTGAGAAAAGGAAGGAAGGAAGGAAGGACAAAAGGAAGAAAAGGGTGACATTTGAAAGACTCCAACATGTTCAAAAATTTATATAATTTTTATTTTGCTGTAATTTTGTAGATAAAGGACCCTCCAAATGTTCATTATATTTTTCAAAATGATAAATCTTAATTTTTCTTCTACCTGGCCTACCCATAAGAAAGTACACCACGTCTGCCATCCCAATGAACAATTCTTGCTGAACTAGCCAAGCTTGAGAAAGCCGCTCTCTCTGGAGTTAGGCACTCCTACCTTCAACTGAGTCCCACTGTCCATCTGTTCTTCGAAGATCCACCTCAATGGTCATGGGGGTGAGAAGGTCATTAAACTGACAACATTGATTTCCCAAGGGGGGGAACCTCACACTATTAGAAACCCCACCTCTCCTTCCAGGTTAGAGTGGGTAAGAAAGAAGGCTGGAAAAAGAAGGCAATTTATTATATCCCAGTGAATCCAAAACAGAGGGGGAAAAAAGTATGCTAGCTAGCTTTTGCCATCTAGCAAAACATAAAAATAAACAAGCAAAAGTCCATCTTATGTTTAAAATTATATTGAGATTAACTCAAGTAGGTGGGCTGAGTGTATATCCATCATCCTCCTCTCACCTCAAACCTTTAAAGTTAAACAGAGTACATATTTACCAGCTGATATGATGCATCCTCCCTCCCTACTGCCCATCCCCCCAAACATATCCTCAAACTACTCCGCACCCAGCGCCTCCCTTAGAGGTGGAAGGCGGCGCTCTCAAGAAGCGCCCAGGTAGAGGCCAGCAGAGGGCTGTGGACTACAGTTCCCAAAGCTCAAAAAGACAATAGTGACGATGCTGCCCTCTCGTGGCAGATGAGCAAAACATACAGGAAAACAACTCTCCGTGTCCTTCCAAGATCCTTTCTTAACAAAAACAAGCCCTTTACATGGCAACTGAGAATGAGAGTTTTAATTATTTCTCTGACATTACAGATTGACATTTTACTATCACAAAACATGCATGCAGAGTAACTTTTGTTATTCCACTTGTTAACATGAGACTGCGCGACGGGGCTGTAGAGTGTGGCAGCTGGAGAAGGACGGCTCCATCTCTAATGCAGAAAAATGCCCATGATGGAAAGAATCTTCCCGGTTCCAGCGCTGAGGATGGCTTTGGCCCTTTGATTGTGATGGTATTTTAGGTTTTGAGGATGAAAATTCAGAACGTATGATGAATACTTATGTCTTTGTTGCTCTATAACCTTGAGAGTCACCAAAATACCCATTTCTACACTAGGAGGCAAACAGGCTAAAATCCATCATACCCTAAGTAAAGTCCTCCTAATTTTAGCTCTTGGCAGATGGGAGTGGGGTGGGGAGAGCAGCTCGTCCACCTCTGCTCCATGCCCCTGTACTCCGGAGTCAAGCCTGCCAGTCGCCATGCCCTGCTCACTCACACAGAGCCCCCAGTAGCCCTGCCAGCCAAGTGAGAGGCCGGATGTGGAAACAGAACCTCACAACCACAGAATGAGCCTGCACCAGCCACCTAATCAGCCAAATCCGTCGTGATTATGAACAGACACCAAGTGTTACCAGGCATTTTAAAAAATAAAATAAAAGCACAAAATAGAAGCCTACAAAGTGAAACAGGAAACCTTCCAGAATATAGAATAACAAGACAAAGAGGTTTAAATAAGGAATACAGTGTAAGAGAAATGGAAGATCAATCTAGTACTTTTAAAGAAGTTCTAGGGGAGATGAGAGAAAACAGAGGTTATGGGTATGTCTATTACCTTGACTGTGGTGATGGGTTTCACAGTGTGTACATATATCCAAACTCAACAAACTCTTTACATTAAATACGTGCAGGTTTTGTATATCAATTATACCTCAATAAAGCTATTTTTTAAAAAAACACTCTGCTCCAAAGAACACCGTCAGAGAGTTGACAAAAAACCCACAAAATGAAAAAAATGTATCTATAAATCATATATCTAACCAGATTCTAGTATCCAAAATATATAAATAGGCTTTACAATTCAACAGTAAAATGACAGATAACCTAATTAGAAAATGGGCAAATGTTCTAAATAAACATTTCTCCAAATAAGGTAGACAGATGGCCAATAAGCACATAAAAAATGCCCAAGCTCATCAGTCATTAGGTAAACACAAATCAGAACCACAATGAGATACCACCTCACACCCATCAGGATGGCCCCTATAAAAACAAACACATAAATACAAATATAAAATAACAAGCGTTGGCGAGGATGTGGAGAAGTGGGAGCACTCAGAAACTGTTGGTGGGAATGTAAAATGGTACAACTACTTTGGAAAACAGTTCGGCAGTTCCTTAAAAAGTTAAACAGAGAGTTACCACATGATCCAGCAATTCCATTCCCAGGTGTATACTAAATTAATTGAAAACACATGTTTATGCAAAAACTTGTACATTAATGTTCACAGTAACTTTATTCATAACCAAAAAGTGGAAACAACCCAAACGCTCATCAGCTAACAAGTGGGCAAACAAAATACTGTGCATCCACATAATGGAATGTTACTCGGCCACGAAAGGGAAGGAAGTGCCACAGCATGTATAAACCCTGAAAACATTACTCTATAGACACAAAGGACCACATATTGTGCAATTCCATTTTCATTAAATGCTCAGAATGGGAAAATCTATGGAGACAAAGGGTAAATTAGGGGCCAAGGCAAGGAGTAAATGAGGAGTGGATGTCAATGGATACAGGGTTTTGTATGGGGTGATGGAATGTTCCGGAACTGGATAGTGATGATGGGCAGGCACACAACCTTGTGAATATACTAAAACCACTGACTTGTATATTTTAAAATGGTGAGTTTTATGGTGTGAATTATATATCAATTACAAAATAAATCGTTCAAATATTTCAATTAAGAGACATTTTGAGAAAAAAATACAATTTTCCACATTCACCTTATTTTATTTTTTATTGAGGTATAATTGACATACAGCATTAAATTCGTTTCAGATATACAACATAGTGATTTGATGTCTGTATAGATTGTGAAATGATCACCACCAGAAGTCTAGTTAATATCCATCACCTTACAGAATTACAGAATGTTTCTCCTTATGATGAGAACTTTTAAGTTCCACTCTCTTAGCATTTTCAAATATGCAACACAGCATTATTAGTTATAGTTACCATGCAGTGCATGACATCCTTATGACTTACTTACTTTATAGTTTTAAATTTTGTACCTTTTTTCATTGTGCATTTTTTTTTTTTTTACCTTTTGACTTCCTTCATCCATTTTGCCTGCACCCCCCAACTCCCACAACTGGCAACTACCAAATCTTGTATTCTTTTTATCTCTGAGCTTGGTGTTTTGTTTTGCTTTTTATATTTCACATATAAGTGAGATCATATGGTATTTGTCTTTGTCTGACTTATCTCACTTAGCATAATGTCCTCAAGGTCCATCCATGTTGTCATAAATGGCAAGATTCCATTCTTTTTTATGGCTAAGTAATATTCCATTGTGTACCTGAGTACGTGTGTGTGTGTCTATCATGTTTTCTTTATCCCAAAAATACATTGGTTCCTTTTTTTATGTGATAAATTCGAGATGTACTAGAGAAATTAAATGTAAAAAATACAATCATTAAAACCAGAATATAGAATATATTTATATTCAGAAACTATAAAGAAAAAATATTGATAAAGTTGAGTATATTAAAATGTAAGCCTTCTGAATAACACTAGCGTCATAATTGAAACAAAAGAAAAGTAGTCAACTCAAGAGAAAATATCCATCCATACATGAAGGATTAATATCTGGAATGTATAAGAGCACATTTAAAAAAAAAGATAAATCAACAGAAAAATGACCAAAGAATATGAAGTAGTAATTCACATAATAAGAAAAACAAATACTCAGTAAAAATTGGAAGGGGTTATACTGACTTTCAATAATAGTAAGTGAGATGCGAATTAAAAAAATTATTTGATAACAATGCTTTCCCATTTTTAAAAAAAGATTCCTTATAAAAAATATTAGTGAGCTGGTGTAAAAATGTGGACTCACGTGGACTACCAGTACAAAAGTAAATTGATACAACCTTTTTGGTGAACAATTTGGCAATATTTTTCAAAAGGTGCATATTTAAACCCGGGAATTCCATGTCTAAGTGTTTGTCCTATAAAAAAATGTACACATACACACAGTGCAATGTAAAAGAATCCTCATTGTGGCCATGCTTATTATAGCAAAATGCTGGAAACGACCCAAATGTCCATCTGCAGAAAAACTGGGAGATAAATCAGTGTACCACCATTCTGGTAGAGAGTCCCCACATTTCCTGGATAGCAAAGAACAAGGTAATTTCATAGAAGAAATCAATTTTCAAAAGAATACTCATAGTATGATCCCACTGATACAAAGCAAATGAAACAAAACTACCTACTATCCCTGGGAAGGAAGCTGTTTTAGGAGGGGGTGAAGTGGACTTCCATTTTCAAATTTATGTACCTCGTTACTGTTTGAATTTTTATCACAATAATTAATAAACATAAGACTTAGGTAAAATGCTAACTTGAAAAGTGTGCCTATTGTTTAAGTGATACTGTTTAAATTTAGTTGCAAGTCTCAATTTTAATACATAATAAAATATAAGAAGGAAATTCTTACCTTCCAAATTTTCAATTTTTTCAATGTTGTTTAAAGCTAAATTCAAATATTCAAGTCTCTTGAGTTTGCTAACATTTTCTGAAATATAAAAAAATGTAATTAATTAACCTTCAAGATAAAAGCTATTTTTACATAATCTGCTGTGAAAATTATAATGGGAATCTAAGCGTTAGTATGGTTATCAAAACCATGTTGCTTATTGCACTACTGGGTATTTACCCCAAAGATACAAAAGTAGGGATTCGAAGGGGTACGTGCACCCCGATGTTTATAGCAGCAATGTCCACAATAGCCAAACTGTGGAAAGAGCCAAGATGTCCATCGACAGATGAATGGATAAAGAAGATGTGGTATATATACACAATGGAATATTATGCAGCCATCAAAAGGAATGAGATCTTGCCATTTGCAACGACGTGGATGGAACTGGAGGGTATTATGTTGAGTGAAATAAGTCAAACAGAGAAAGACATGTATCATATGATCTCACTGATATGAGGAATTCTTAATCGCAGGAAACAAACTGAGTGTTGTTGGAGTGGGGGTTGGGGTGGGAGGGATGGGGGGACTGGGTGATAGACACTGGGGAGGGTATGTGCTCTGGTAAGCGCTGTGAATTGTGCAAGACTGTTGAATCTCAGATCTGTACCTCTGAAACAAATAATGCAATATATGTTAAGGAAAAAAAAAGAAGAAGAAGAAGGTAGCGGGAGGGGAAGAATGAAGCGGGGGAAATAGGAGGGGTAAACGAACCATGAGAGACGATGGACTCTGAAAAACAAACAGGGTTCTAGAGGGGAGGGGGGTGGGAGGATGGGTTAGCCTGGTGGTGGGTATTGAGGAGGGCACATTCTGCATGGAGCACTGGGTGTTATGCACAAACAATGAATCATGGAACACTTCATCTAAAACTAATGTTGTAATGTATGGGGATTAACATAAGAATAAAAAAAAGAAAAAAAAAAAAAAAAAAAAAAAAAAAAAGAATAGAAAAACAATAAACAATCCATAAATTTTCAGCCACATGATTTACAAAAAAAAAAAATGGGTGGAATTCAGTGGAAAAAATAATGATGATTACTTCAATAAATAATGCTGTGTCAACTGGAAAAAAAAAAAAAAAAAAAAAAAAAAAAAAACCATGTTGCTTTTTCATGTCTATACCTGGACATTAGACATCCTTGGTTGCCAAATGCAGCCTCATTTCTTCCTCCATCCTTCCTAATAGAACCCACTTCTGCTCTTGACTCTAGCCAGCTCTGACTCCAGGGACTTTGACTTAACCAGGCTGGGCCAGTGCATAGCAATAGCAGGTCCCTTGCTAAGGACAGCTCAGGAACCTAGGCTTCAGCCAACTAGCCCATGGCCATCTCCTAGCAGCTATGTGATGGAGGAGTGGACTTGCACATCAACTGCTCCCAGTCAGAGGAGAGGCAAAGATCTATATTCCATGCTGGGGGACTGCCTCTTTCTTTCTCCTGCTGGATGTGAAAAGGGAAGAAAGTGATATTCTGATTGCTACCAGAGTCATCCCGCAGCCATGACGAAACCAGCTGTAGGATGGAGCCCACACTGGGACCGGTGGAGCAGAAAGAAGGAACCACCCAACCCTGGAGCCTGCGCTGTCTCTAGACTTACAGTTGCGTAAGCTACACTAAGTTGGGTTTTCCTTTACTTGAAATCAAGCTCGCCCTGCTACACACAGGATTATTGTTTTTAATAAATATGGAAGCTCAGAGAGGCAAAACAATAAGCATATATGAGTCAGAGAATTGCTGTAGGATGGGGACATTTAAAAATGCTAAAATTACCATAGTTAATATTGTCAAGGACTTATTATCTGCCATGTACTTTCCTAGGCATTTTGCATATATGATATCATTTCATCCTCATAATAACCCTAAGAGGTAAAAATTACTGTTGGCTCCCTTTTATAAATAAGAATACCAATGTGCAGAGACTTAATCCATTTGTTGAAGATTAAATGGTGAAGCCAGGAAATTTGACTCCAGATCTTGGCACTGAATTGTTACACTAAAAGAACAGTCCTTTCTAAGAGGACATGAACGTGGGGAACCCTGCTAGGGAATGTGCATGGAGGGGACTCCTCACTTAAATAATGCTCTTTCTGCCCATTTTCCATGGATATGAGGAAGATCAAACGTGATGGCTTATGGTCATCATCACCCTTACGATCGTCACATTTCATTTAAAATTTAGAAAATACCATGTACTTGTTCATGTAGACCTAAGAATAACACCTCTGTGAGCCTCAGCTGACTCATTTTTTAAAATGAGGATTTTAGAATAAATTACTAATGTTTCTCTCAGCAATTAGATGATTTTAAGTAATACTGATGTTTCTAGAAGGTTCTCCAGGCAACACCTGAGCATTCAATAGTCAGCAGATTTGTGGAACTCTATGTGCCCAGGATTATGACCAACATAGTGCAATCTGTATCCCGAACAAAAATACCTACATTTTTATGTTATTATCATTAAAATTGCCAGCCTACAATAAAAGACTTGTTCCTTTCCCACATTTGTTATATGTATAGCCCTCTAAATGTGAAAAGAGTCTTCTGGTAGGAAAAAAAAAATTGTTTGGGAAGGATTTCTTAAATTATCCCTCAAGAATAATGAGCCAAATTGGTCAGGGGAAAAAAAAAAATGGCTCTACAGATAAAAATGTGCAGCGCCTCTTGGACAGCAGGAAGGGAGTCCGCAAAACCATGGTTCTAGCCCAAACCATCCCGGAAGCAGTTCTCCCCAGTTGCTACCACCAGACCGACAGACCTGTGGTGGACCAAAGCCATCCCCCAGAGCAAGCGGCTCCGCTCTTACCTTTAGGCCCTGGGCTCACTGGGAAGCTGTTACAAATGCAGATTTGGGGAGCCCATCCCCACAGGTTCAGTCAGTAGGTCTGGGATGGGGCTAGAACCCCACTTTAACAAGACCCTGGAAGGTCCTCAACTCGCACTTGGATCAACACTCGGCACAGCCCCGCCCCGAGCCCGTCTGTATCTCCCAGTGAGGACCAGAGCTTTAGGAGAGGCGACTGTTCTGCAAACTTCTACCTCAATGGCACCAGAGCAAGTGAGAATCCTAGAGAAATACTTTTGCTTGCTAAATAAGCGCCTACATGCCTATGGGTGGAGCAGCACTGAAAAATCCCATTATTAGGATTTAAAAGAGTGTTTAATTTAAGAATACTTTGGAAGCAAAAATTTAAGCTTTCTCACAGCTCTGAAAAGGCCTGAAATACTATGCTACTAATTAGTAATTGTGACGGACCCAGCTGTGGAGATTAAAATTTCGGGAACTCTTTTAGATCTGTACAATTAGGACGGCTCGTTAATGCCCCCTGCATAAAAGCTGGTGGTTTTCTGTAACAGTCTTTTTAATTGAACAATGTGCCAGAGTTTCTAATTTCTGGTAAAGTGAAAGATGTTGAAAATAATTATCTGAAGAAATATAAAGAATTGTAATAAATCTTCAAAAAAGAAAAATAATGCAAAATCTAGGCTTTTTGCAACCCGAGGACCAATTTTCAATTATCCACCCAACCAGGGGCAACCACCTCAGCAGGGTTTATCACCCTCAGGGATACTAATGTTGTGGGCCGGGGGGTTCTTTCTTGTGGGGCCGTCCCGTGCACTGCAGGATGGTTAGCGATGGCTCTGTGCACCATACGTGGTAGTGGTGTCCCCCTCCCCCGCACACACTTGTCACAACCAAAACCGTCTCCAGAGGTTGCCAAACACCCCTGTTGAGAACCACGGCACATCTCGAGGGCAAGTTCAAACATAGCCTAAGAGCCGACCTCTGGCTCCGGCGCCACGGCCCACAGAGGTTGGCACTCCTTCTGCCTTGTGGACCCTAAGCATCCCTTTTCCCCCACCTCCGCCCCTACCTCCACGTGGCTAGCCTGGTAAATGACAACTTCAACAGCAACGGTAGCAGCTAGCATCTGAGTGACTGGTTCATAAGTCCCTGGCATATACACGGCAAGACTAAGTGACCTGACCTAATTTCACACAATTTTCAGTGGCTGAGGGAGGGACCAAGCCCATCAGGACCTGTGCCTCTTCTTGCCACTAAACTATAGGTTGCTCTTCTGAGTGTGGGGGGCGCTCCTGTTTATGGGTGGCAGGACCCCCTCAGAGTGACTCCACAGCCCTCCCTTCTCTCTGCCACTTAACTCTTTCTTCCCCAGGGGATTGTGGGGCAGGCCCACCTAGCTGATGGATGAACTGGGAGAAGGAACTGGGCATGGCCAGTCCCCCCACGCTCCTGGCTTCTGGGGTCTCCCTGCCAGCAAAGAGTACGCACTTTCGTCCCCTATGCAAGGCCCACGTACTGCCCAGCCTGCATGAGACCAGGTGGACAGATGGAACTTGAGGGCAGTTAGGAAGCCCGCTTGGCTGCAAGGCTAAGCCACCTTCTCCAAAAGGTTTTGTCAGTTATAATGCTGATGTTTTGATCTATTTCTCATTCCATTCCAAACTGGAGCAGTGAGCAGGGGTGTAGTTGTGGAACCCCTCTGATGGCCAATACAGAGAATAATACCTTGCACATCCACGTTCTCCATAACCACGGCAGAATCAGCCACCCCAGGCAATCTGCCGAGGGTTTACTCAACTTGCACACAACCCTTTCAGTTCTATGGAGTGATGCAAAACTATGACGAACGCCTGGATTCTATTCTCCTTTCAAACTTAGACAAAACCAGGCTATAAATGAGCAGGTCAACAAGTATGCTCCCACCTTTAAGGGTCCCTTGCAACTCCTCGATGGCGTCTGCGGGAGCCCCGGGAGAGGGTCCACGCACAGCTCCCGGGAGCCGGCCGTGTCTATTTCCCCTGTATGGCTCTTTTTCATCCGTGTTGTCTTCCTCTAAGAATCACACCGCCCCCCCCCCAAAGTTCTCCCATTCAAAATGTCAAAGAAACCATGAGCACAAAATCCTGAAGACTCACCAATTTTTCCAATGAGGTTATTTTGAAGATAGAGGATTTTTAAATCCCGGCACCATTTGTCAATGTGTTCTAGCCTTTCTATTTCTTGCTGATGCAAGGAGAGTTCCTCCAGGGAAAAAATTACACAGTCATTGTGTTCAGCATTCCGTCTAATAAGATCTTCTGTGACTGAAAGAAAATTTGTTACGTATTACATCTCCATCCCTGTGCTCATCATCAGGTTATTACATTAGGAATGCATTGGTTTTTCTTCCCAGTTTGATGTCAGTCCTCCAGGCCCCAGTGATTTTCAAAAGGGAAGAGAACAGAGAGGTGCTGCCTCCTGCTGGTGACACCGTGATTAGTCAGAGAGCTTTTTGTCTTTTTTTTTGCACAGGGTCTACCTACATTTTGCTGTCTGGACAGGGACAGAGTGGGAGGGTAATGACCGTGAGAATGTTGATATGGAATCCCATGGTGATATCAGGTTGAACTGGATGAGACCCACTAAACAGACCAAGACAGGGCGACTCAGACTGAGAGGCATGGTCTGGCTGCCAGAGGGTAAAACCAGGAAAGCATCTCCCACCATTTCAGTAAGGAAAGGTCCATTCATTCAACTGACATTTATCAATTTTACTAAAGTTGAAGAGAAAAGAGAGGCGCACCCTAGATGTTGCATTGCAATCTTACACGGCAGCTACCCTGCGGTCTGTTTCTGGGAGGAAGAAAAGGAGCCGCTCACAGGAGGAGGGTGAGGAGAGTCCCTGGCCCACTGACAGGAGTGCCCTGCAGCATGGGGGCTGGCCTGTTACGGGGATACCAAGGGGCTGGAGACAATGCCCTGGTCCAAGGCTGGATCCAAGAGCAAGACAGGAATCCCCTTAATGAGACACACTCAAGGTAAAGACGTGATGACAATGGACAAACCTTTGTGTGTTCCATTGCTATGAAAAACATCAATAAAAGGGCACCTGGGTGGCTTAGTCATTAAGCGTCTGCCTTCGGCTCAAGTCATGATCCCAGGGTCCTGGGATCGAGTCCCATATCGGGCTCCCTGCTCGGCAGGAAGCCTGCTTCTCCCTATCCCACTCCCCCTGCTTGTGTTCCTGCTCTCGCTATCTCTCTTTCTCTGTCAAATAAATAAATAAAATCTTTAAAAATAAATAAAAATAAATAAAAACATCAATAATCCATTTTAACATCCACATTTTAGGTGGACAGTGGAACGTTGCATGTCCAGCCCAAGAGACAATAAAGATTTATTTATTGCCGCTTACAAAGTGCCAGGCACTGTCCGAAATGCTTTCGTGTGTTCGCATATGAGTATTTACACTTGGCAGATGAGGGATTGAGGCACAGAGTTGAAATAACTTGCCCAAGGTCTTGGTGGTAAGTGCCAGAGCCGGGTTGTGAGTGTAGGGGTCTGGCGTCGACCGTGGGCTCTTAGCCACTAAGCTACACCGCCCCAAACAGGAGCAAGGAAGAGCCTCTCAAGACGTCTCAGGCCTCCTCAATGGTACAGACCCCTCTAGCTGAGACAGAGTTCTCCGGTTCTTCTGGAGTCCCCTCGGCTGCCCTACTTCCATGCCACATCCTGAAAAGGCGACTTGGCCTTTTTAAAAACAATGTGAAAACAGGTTTGAACTCGATCAGTTGTATGCAGTTAGCTGAACCCCTGCTATTTCTGGTAGAAGGAGGTGGGGTTGCTTGCCATGACAGTTGTTTGGAAGAAAGACAGGGGAAATGTAAATGTCCAGAGATTAAAATACTGTACCTGGGGTATTTCCCTGCTGTTCTAAGTTTTGCCTCAACTCGCCGGCAGAGCTGGCTGCACGTCGGGTCCTGGGGAGGGGCAGGCCAAAGAGGCAGCAGGGAAGGGGGCTAACAGGGCAGTCCTGCCAGCCCCAGCTCACTGGGGTCCCTGCCGCTTACAGCTCTCTGCTGTCTCTGGAGGCCACAGCTAGTAGGCAAGCTGGTTTAAGCAGAAAAGGACTTTCCAAAAACCAAACCTGGTTTGGGCATTAAAACTACTCTCCACACATCCCACTACCAAACCAAAGTTGGTTCTAACAGCTAAAATCAACTGATAATGAATATGTGGGTGCAGCCAAGTTGAGGACACAGCAAAGCTGCTGTGTAAAGTCAAATGTATTAGCTGTTTCTGTAATCAGCTACAAGAATTCTCTTAGTAAGGATGCCAACAGGCATCGAGGGCTTGGGATGGCACAACCAATGTTATTTCAGCTACCCTAATGAAATGTGGGAATTATTCACTACTATGAATAAGACCCTCAGTGACCAGTGGGGTATATGTAACTTGAACTATATCAATCCACAGAGCAGGGGGCTAGGTTTTGGAGGCCTTGCTGCCATCAGACCTGGAGTCAAAGGGACCAGGAGGATGTGCCCATCCAGAGCCCATGCCCTTCCCTCCAGAACATGTCCCAGGTAGAACAATAGAATTCTCTGCCCAAGGGGCCCCAAGCCTGCCTCCAAGCCCTACACTGGCCACTTCTCTAGGTTCATTCCTGAAGACATCCCTACCCCCTGGAGTGTCCAACGAGCAGCTCTTTTCTGGAGATCCATCCATGTGGATGGATATGTAGGCTGGAGTATCCGCCTTTATACAGGGGCTTGAGGGACCAGGATAGAGCCAGGGATAGGAAGAGAAGGGAGGGGTAGGCCGGGGAGCCAGCTCTTCCCATACGTCCCCCTCCTCCCCAGCTCTGGCACAGAACCCAAGGAGTTTGAGAAACATATTAAATGTAGCCTTCTGGGTTGTTATAAAGATACTCTTGTCGAGAGAGGAAAATGCATTTTATCTGGCAGTTTGATTATAACTTGACACATGAGCGTCCATTATATTCTTTCCGTGGGTCACCCAGGAAGGCTTAGTGGAACATTCATATTGAAGATATAAACCCAAGTTGGATCCCACAGTAGCTGTCATCTGTAAGTATGGTTCAGTCCAATGTGTTCAGAGGAATTCTGAAAGTGTCTTGTTAAAGCACCACGGGGGGTCCGGCCTGGGATGGCTACGTCAGCATCTGCACAACCCACCGGGGCCGGCCCGGGCCTTGGAACACTAAAGCGATCATGGGCCACTCCAGCTCTTATAGTCTTAGAGGATTTTCCGATTTGTCCAACCCTAAAGACCCGCGGGTTCCTCTCCAGATACCAAATATCCTTCCCATGTTCTCTTGCTACACCTTTCTTAAAATTAAGAAACCCTTTTCACAATGCTATTTCCTGTGTGAATTTGATCACTTCCATGCAATTGTCAACTCCTCCCTTTCAGAGGCATGTACCTTCCCACGATCTGAATCTGCTAACCACGAGAATTAAGATGATAAAAATCACTATCAGTTGAAAGGGATGGGGGTAGAGGAAACTCCCTTTGCATGAATAGCTAATTTGCGCACACACACACACACACACAGGAGAGGAGGGTCAACAGTTGCCAAGACCTGCATGAGTGGAGCAGTAGGGGCTGAGAAGAACACTGACAGTTTAAACACAGATTCAGACTTATCTCACTAATGGAAAGCTGCCGAGGAATCCAAAGTTTTAACCATGACTCACCGGCCAGCCTACACTTCTTTTCAATGAAGTGGGATGACTGGGTTTTCAATAACTTGAGGGAATGTCAATAAAATGACTCTTTGGGGTAGGGGTGAGGCAAAGGGCAGAAGGAGAAGGTTTCTGGAATACTGGCAGTTGTCAGGCCGTGTTTGTTTCTACGAAGCTTTTCAGTGTGTTGAGCAAAGTTCTAGAAACTCCCAAGGCCAATAACGAAGTGTTCATTCATTCAGGCTTTACACTATGTTTTGTAAATAGCCCTCTATATCTCACTGGATTAGAATAAAATCGATAGTATATGTTTAGGGCAGATTTCAGCGGAATTTGTAAACATCCTGAAACACCTAGCAGATACATCTATGAAACAGAAATGTAACAGAGATGAAGGGGTGACAAATAGGAGAAGGTCACCTCTTGTAGCATTTACACTTTTTTTTAATTGTTTTCAATGGACACTTTTAAAAACAGAATTACTCGTTTGCCCTGCCTTTTGTGACTGACTCGGGGTCATCATAGCAAGCACTGCTAGCCATACTAGACCCAATCCAATGATTCACGTAGAGAGTGCTATTAAAGAACATGAGTGAAGGGTTATGGGGCAGTGATGAACACAGAGAGAACAAGGAGTGGGGAGTGACCAGTGTTACTGAGTGACAGGAGGGAGGTCAAAAGAGGCATCGTGGAGAAGAAGCCTGACCTGAGTTTTGAAATGTGAGTAGGTATTTGCCCAATAAACAGATGAGGAAGGGGTGCTCCAGCCTATGGTAGATGCTGTGTTGCCCAGTTCCCTCCTTCAAAACTGAATGATCAGTTCTTCTAGCTGCTGGGAGTTGTGCCAGCAGACTGCCCACAGTTGCCCACCTTCTTCATAAGTCACTTGGCTGAAGAGACACCTCAACCGACATCGTGCCCCTTCCCAGGGAAGCCCATATCCAATGACTGGCTGTTGGGGGCCCTAATGGCCCAGCCCTCTCACCTCAGCTTGGGAAAATCGAAAGGTCCATTCCCAGTTTAGAGGTCCTTCGAAGTTTCCAGGTTGGTTAGCTACGTCTTTTGTTAAAACCCATCACAGCCCAACATCCTTCCTGTCCAGTCTTGCTGCCTTCCCTACCCACTCCACTAACACTCCCTAATGAACCTCCTGCATGCTAATCTCCATCAAAAAGTCTGCTTCCTGGGGAACCCAACCTGGAAGAGTGGATACCAGAAGTGGTACGTGAAGGCAGATGCTAACCAAGATGGGCTTCTGGAGTCGGAGTCTGCTGCCTGAGGTGCAATGGGGACACCACCACTGGAGGGAGGTGGAGCACAGATAGTGTCCAGCACAAGGTGGCTGTGGGATGTTTAACACTTGCACTTGTGTTGCAAAGAGAACAGTGTCAATCCATCTGGAATACCATAACACAAATACCATAAAGTAGGTGGGTTACAAACAAGAAACATTTATTTCTCACAGTTCTGGAGGCTGGAAGTCCAAGATCATGGCATGGGCAGATTTGGTGTCTGGGGAGAGCCTGCTTCCCCACTGATGGGAATCTCACATGGTAGAAGGAGCAAGCTAGGTCTCTGGGGCCTCTTTCAGAAGGGCAATAATCCCAATCATGAGGGCTCCCCCTTCATGACCTAATCACTTCCCAAAGGCCCACCTCCTAATACATCACTTTGAGGGTTAAGATTTCAACATAGGAGGGGTGCCTGGGTGGCTCAGTCAGTTAAACACCTGACTCTTGGTTTCAGCTCAGGTCATGATCTCAGGGTTGTGAGATTGAGCCCCCTGTTGGGCTCCTTGCTGGGTGTGGTGCCTGCTTAAGATTCTCTCTCTCCCTCTTCCTCTGCCCCTCCTCCCCATCCTCTCTGAAGGAAGGAAGGAAGGAAGGAAAGATAAGAAAGAAAGAAAGAAAGAAAGAAAGAAAGAAAGAAAGAAAGAAAGAAAGAAAGAAAGAGGAAGAGAGAGGAAAAGAAAAGAGAAAGAAAGAGATTTTAGCATATGAATTTTGGGGAACACAAACATTCAACCTATAGCAAATAGGATACTAATGGAAGGGAATGCACTAGTAAGTGTGACATGACACATCAGGTAGTAGAGAAATATGGGGGAAATCGTAACTTGAAAACTTAAAGGACAGTTGCATTGGGTGGCTGCTGCTGGATAAAGAAAGCCTGGGTGTGATTAGTTGGACATTAAAAAAAGCCAGAGTACCACACTGGCAGCATCTAAAGAGGTTTGCTTCCTGAAACCAGAGGGTAGAGAGGGCAGAGAACCAGGACCAGCACTTAATCACAAGAGGAGGAGGGACTTCAGGTTCTAGACATGATGGAGTCATAGGGTCAAGATTGAACCTCCAGCCTAAAACAACTAAAATCCAGAATACATGAAAAAAAAAAACCATAAAAAACAAACAAACAGAACAAAACTGGGCATTAGGAAATCCAAAGGGAGATAAAGTATTTTGAACAGAACAAAAAATGAAAAGCCATATCAAAATGTGTGGGATATGGCTAAAACATAAGTTGGAGGAAATTTTACAGCACTAAATGCCTAAAGAAAGGAAAAAGGTCTCAAACATCAGCTTCTTCCTTAAGAAACTAGAAAAAGAATAAATTAAACCCAAAGTAAGCAGAAGAAGGTAAATAACAAAGATTATACCCAAACTCAATGAAATGGAAACAGAAACAATTGAGAAAAGTCGATGAAAATGCTTTAAAAAATAAAATTGGTAAACTTCTAGCCGAACCAATCAGTGAAAAAAGAAAATACATAAATTGCCATTATTGGGAATGAAAGCACGGCATTATATAGATTATATAGTATTAAAAGGCTAGTAAGAACTTCATGCTAATAAGTTCAAGAACTTAGATTAAATGAGAAAATTCCTTAAAAGTCACAAACTACCAAAGCTCACGTGGGAAGACACAGATAGACCAAACAACCCTGTATCTACTACAGTAATTAAATACGTAACTCAAACCTTCCCACAAAGAAACCATAGCACAGATGTCTTCACTGATAAATGCCACCAAACATTTAAGGAAAAATAATACCCACTGTACACAGTGGGTATTATTCCATACCCACTATAGAATAAAATTTAAGAGAATTTTCTATAAAATTTGAGAATTTAAGAATTTAAGAAAATTTAAGAATACTTCCTGAGATAATTCTACAAGGCCAGCTTTAACCTGAGTCCCAAACCAGACGAATACAAGGCCAAGGCTAACCAGGGGAGATGTTGTTCTAGACGTGGGCTAATTGATAGAAACTGGGAGGACAGACTCTTGAAACAATGAAGGCCAAGTAGGGACATTTAACTTTAGAAGTTAGGTGGACAGATGCCATAATGAGGGACAAGGTTGGAGTGGTGGCCAGTGGTCCACATCCATGGAGGGCTATGGGGATGGAGAACAGAACATGACATTCCTAAGAACAATACAGCCGAGCAGCCAACAAAGGCACTATGCCATCTATGTGATCAAACTACAACAAGGATTGATGACCGGAAGGCTAAGGACAATTGGCTCAATAAAAATTCACAATCTCTTGCCTAGTTTCCAGACCTCAGTCAGTTTTTGGACCTGAAACTAGGGTTTCCATATTTAGCAAATAAAAATACTGGGTGGCCTGTATTTTTATCTGACAACCCACTGACTAAAAGAGAGGCAGGGTCCCCAAGAGTACATGGCAATGATTGATCCAATCCTTTCCAAAAGGACTGCTGGCCATTTATTTGAATAACAATACACTGGGGAAGGGGGAATACCAAATCACATTGTCGCCTGCTGGACACAGGATTTGAGTTGTCATTAACATCTGGAAACACAAAGCATTGCCAAGTGTTCTTACCAGAGTGGGGACATGTTGGGGGCCAGGTAATAAATGGAATCATGCCATGTCCAGTTCACAATTGGTTAATCCATTAACAAATGTTGACGGATATGTGGATTGTTTCCCTTTTTTTGGCTACTATGAAAGCATATGCTATAAATGTTCATACACAAAGTCTGTGTGGACGAAGGTTTTCATTTTTCTTTTGTAATATCTAAGGATGACATGGGTGGGAAACAAAGTTTGCCTTTAATTTTTACTGCTGATGGTCTAATTTTTTTGTCTATTGCTTTAGAGAAGAGGGAATACCAGTAAGTGGTTTAGGAATGGGGCTTTTACTATTTACAAATCACCTGCCCCTTCCACCAACCCATCAGCTCTTCCAGGGCAGAAACCCCATCATCCAGCTCAGTCTCTTGATTTAAAAATATTAATTATTGGGCGCCTGGGTGGCTCAGTTGGTTGAGCGACTGCCTTCGGCTCAGGTCGTGATCCTGGAGTCCCGGGATCGAGTCCCGCATCGGGCTCCCTGCTCGGCGGGGAGTCTGCTTCTCCCTCTGACCCTCCCCCCTCTCATGTGCTCTCTCTCATTCTCTCTCAAATAAATAAATAAAATCTTAAAAAAAAAAAAAAGTGCAGGGCCCCAGGGTGGCTCAGTTGGTTAAGCGACTGCCTTCGGCTCAGGTCGTGATCCTGGAGTCCCGGGATCGAGTCCCGCATCGGGCTCCCTGCTCGGCGGGGAGTCTGCTTCTCCCTCTGACCCTCCCCCCTCTCATGTGCTCTCTCTCATTCTCTCTCAAATAAATAAATAAAATCTTAAAAAAAAAAAAAAGTGCAGGGCCCCAGGGTGGCTCAGTTGGTTAAGCGACTGCCTTCGGCTCAGGTCGTGATCCTGGAGTCCCGGGATCGAGTCCCGCATCGGGCTCCCTGCTCGGCGGGGAGCCTGCTTCTGCCTCTGACCCTCCTCCCTCTCATGCTCTCTGTCTCCCATTCTCTCTCTCAGATAAATAAATAAAATCTTAAAAAAAATTAATTATGACACTTTTATGGTAAGTGAGCAATTAGGCTGAACTGTACAAAACTGTCACAAACGAGAGTAAGATCGGAAACGGTGTTGGCAGGCAAATGGCTCAATCCAACATAAATGTTAATTCCGTCACTTTGCACATTCTGCGGGTGTATTCGTAAACAAACGCTTGGATAACGCTTAGCCCGGTTTGTAAAACAATACCGTCGTTGCCCTCCTTTCGGAGATGAGGTTTGGGCCCAGACGGGCGAAGTCACTGGCTCTAAGTCTGCAGGCTGGGAGGCGGCGGAGGCGGGCTCCCGAGCGGGCTCCCTCCCCCCCCGCGTACGCTGCCATCCCCGAGGGCGAAGGCTGCAGCTCTGACCGTGACTAGCCCAGGACCGCACGCAGGGCGAGCAGGGCGACAGGCGGCCCGAACCCGGCACGTCTGACCCAAGCCCTGCGCCTTCCACCGGCCCCTATCATGAAGTCGCTTGCCTGTCTCGCCCACCCATCTTACAGATGAGGAACCTGAGGCTCGCAGCGGCTAAGCTGCCCGCCGGGCTGGTGGGCGGAGAGGCTGGCACAGCCGGGCCTGCGGAGGGCGGGGGGCCCAGGTGGGCCGGGAAGGGGCGGTGGTGGTGGTCTGTGTCCCCTGGGACCCGGGACGACGCCGGGAAGGGGGACAGTCGAGGGTGGCAGGTGGGAGGGGACGCTTACTCCGGCCCATGGCACGTCTCCGGCTCGCGGGCGGGGGAAGCAAGGCCCGGACCCTGACGGCTTCCTTCGCGCCTCCCAGTCACGCCCCTGCGCGTCCGCACGGGGCCCTGGGAGCCATGGCAACGGCGACTCTACGGCGGCCGCGCGGGGCCAGGCTCCGCCGCGTTTCCGGCGCCCGGGAGGAGCAGGAAGGAGGGACCGGGCGAGAGAGGGCTCGTAGCATAGATAGAGGCTCCCCCGACACCGAGTTCTCTTCCCCGTGCCCGCTCCACCTTCCGCAGACCGTTTCCCTTTCCCCAGATCGGCGGGCCAGGCTAAAGACCCCAGGGCTCGCGCTTCCTGGTGGGTCTGCCTGCCGGGCGTGCCTCCCCTCCTGCCCTCCCGTTTGCCTGTCTGGGTAGTTGACGCCCTCCCGAGCCAGGGGGTCGGGGTGTGGCCCCCACTCGCCTCGCTAGCCGGGTGACCTTAAACCTCCTTAGCCAGTTTCCCCATCTGTAAGATGAATAATCATAACTTCAAAGGATCTTTGTGAATGTTTTTAAAGAGATGATTTGAGTGGACTAAAGACTTTTTTTTTTTAAGATTTTATCTATTTGTCAGAGAGAGAGCACAAGCAGGGGGAGAGCATCAGGGAGCCTGATGTGGGACTCAACCCCAGGGCTCTGGGGTCATGACCTGAGATGAAGGCAGAGGCTTAACCCACGCATCCCCTGAAAGACATTTTTTAAAAACAGCCTCCATATAAAGGGTAGTTGCACTGTTGGATTGCATGTCCTTGAAGTTACAGCTCAACAGGGATGCCTGCTAACAAGTTTTCCAAAAACACTACCCTCCATCCACTTTCCCTACCCACCACTTTCTTAGCTGTAAAGAATAGAAAGTGCATCTCCTACCCCCTTACACCAGTTAGAATGGCAAAAATGGACAGGGAAAGAAACAACAAATGTTGGAGAGGTTGTGGAGAAAGGGGAACCCTCTTCCACTGTTGGTGGGAATGCAAGTTGGTACAGCCACTTTGGAAAACAGTGTGGAGGTTCCTCAAGAAGTTAAAAATAGAGCTACCCTATGACCCAGCCATTGCACTCCTGGGTATTTACCCCAAAGACACAGAAGTAGTGAAAAGAAGGGCCATATGCGCCCCAATGTTCAGAGCAGCAATGTCTGCAATAGCCAAACTGTGGAAAGAGCCCAGATGCCCTTCAACAGATGAATGGATAAAGAAGATGTGGCCCATATATACAATGGAACATTACTCAGCCATCAGAAAGGATGAATACCCAACTTTTACATCCACATGGATGGGACTGGAGGAGATTATGCTAAGTGAAATAAGTCAAGCAGAGAAAGTCAATTATCATATGGTTTCACTTATTTGTGGAACATAAGGGCTAGCATGGAGGACATTAGGAGAAGGAAAGGAAAAATGGGGAGGGGGAATCGGAGGGAGAGATGAACCATGAGAGACTATGGACTCTGAGAAACAAACAGGGTTCTAGAGGGGAGGGGGGAGGGGGGATGGGTTAGCCCTGTGATGGGTATTAAGGAGGGCACTACTGCATGGAGCCCTGGGTGTTATACAAAAACAATGGATCGTGGATCACCACATCAAAAACCAATGATGTATTGTATGGTGACTAACATAACATAATAAAATTTAAAAAAAAAAGAAGAAGAAGAAAGTGCATCTCCTGAAATTCCCACTACTCCTCTCGCATTTCCCCAGACCCCTCCCCAAAAGTGCCCAATTGGTTTTACCCAATTCTGCACTAGGAAGAACATCACTAATCCATCCTCTTTCATCCTTATGTGTTCATATGTGAGGGTTTTAATGGATGACACCTCCCAAAAGTTGTTTTGTTTGTTTGTTTATTGCCACATTTACCCATTTTGCCCACAGCCAACTGCCTCTGGCAACCAGAACTAATCTGTTCTCTGTATTTATGAGTTCGTTTGTTTTTTTTTTTAGATTCTGCATATAAGTGAGATCCTACAGTATTTGTCTTTCTCTGCCTGACTTATTTCACTTAGTATAAGACCCTCAAGTTCCATACACGTTGTAACAAATGGCAAGATTTCCTTCTTTTTGATGACTGAATAGTATTCCAATATACACATAATTTTTCAAATGACTGAATAGTATTTCATTATATATATGTATAATCACATTTTCTTTATCCCTTTATTTTTTGGTGGACGCTTAGGTTGCTTCCATGTCTTGTGTATTGTAAATAATGCTGCAAGAACATTGCATGTCCTTAAAGATATTTTTTTGAATTAGTGTTTTCATTTTCTTCAGGAAAGTACCCAGGAATGGAATTGCTAGATCATATGATAAGTTCTATTTTCAATTTTTTGAGGATCTCCATACTGTTTTTCACAGTGGCTGCACCCATTTACACTCCCACCAATGGTGTAAGAGGGTTCCTTTTCTCCACATCCTCGCCAACTCTTGTTTCTTCTTGTCTTTTATATTATAACAGGTATGAAGTAATATCTCATTGGGGTTTTGATTTGCATCTTCCTGATGATTAGTTACATTGAGCACCTTTTCATTTACTTGTTGGCCATTTGTTTGTCTTCTTTGGAAAAATATCTATGCAGATTTTCAGTCCATTTTTAAATCACAAAATATTTTTTATTGAGTTGCTTGAGTTCTTTACATATTTTGCAAATTAACCTTTTATCAGATACATAATTTGCAAATATTTTCTCTCATTCTGTAGATTGCCTTTTTCATTTTGTTTGATGTAGTCCCACTTGTTTATTTTTGTTTCAGTTTCTTTTGCTTTTGGTGTCAGTCTCCCCCCGCCCCAACAAAAATCATTACCAACACCAAGGAACTTACTCCTGATCTTTTCTTCTAGGAGTTTTATGGTTTTGTTTTTAATGTATTATTATTACAAAAGTAATTCTCGCCCTCCATCCATTTGCAAAAAATAAAAAAAAGAGAAAGTGCTATGTGTAAAATATTTTTAAAAAATTTCTCCCATCCCAATCACAGTAAATAGTACAAAGTCCATGTTTTTATCTTGATATGTGTGTTATGTTTACATTATAAAAGAGGACTCAGGGGCGCCTGGCTGGCTCAGTTGCTTAAGTATCTGACTCTTGGTTTTGGCTCAGGTCATGATCTCAGGGTCATGAGATCTAACCTGCTTCCAGCCCCTGCTCAGCATGGAGTCTGCTTCCCCTCTCCCTCTGCCCCTCCTCCTGCTTGTGCACTCTTTCTCTCTCTCTAAAATAAGTAATAAAACTTTAAAAGATAAAAGAAGATTCATAGAGTAATGTATTGAAGAAATGTATTCTTTCGGCAGACACCTGTTGAGCATTTACTGTTGCAAATTATCAGTGTTTGTCAGGTGGATACAAGGGCATGAACTGTGACAGAGAGGCAGGAAAGTTGAACAGGGTGGCGTGAAGGAGGGGCTGGGAAGCCAGTCAGTTTGGCAATGGAAACAATTGCATGGATGTGATTAGAGCAGGGATAATGGAGGCCATAAATGTCAGGCCAAAGGAACTGAACTAGAATGGTGGGATTTCAGGCGCCGTCTCCCCACCGCGAGAGAACTATTTGGAGTTCCAAGGAGCCTCCCAAAGGCACTCAAACTATAAATTTAGGTGACATCCTCTGCTCCTGCCAAAAAGCCTGGTTCTCATCATTTCACTATTTTTTTGGAAGGAACACAGTGTGGGGTGAAGAGTGTGAACTCTGGCACTGGAGACCTGGTTCAAATCCACAGATGTGTTACTGTGTGGCATCAGACAGATGACTCCACCTTCCAGAGCTAACACCTCCCCATTTCCACATGGAACTGACAGTGCAGGCAATCTATGGCTATGCCACTGAGAGATCTGTGTGCTGGTGTCTGATTGCTTACGTAGGAGATGACATGCCCTCAGCAGCAGGCTGGTTTAGCAAAATGCCTATGCTTGAACTTGTGCATTGGACAGTGAGAGGTTCATCAAGCCTAAAAAAGATCTATTTCTGGCAGGAGGCTGGTACTGGGGGATAATCCAAGTGGAAGTTTCTGAGCTAACTGAGACATGAAGTCAGGACCAGTAGGAAGGACCTTGGCTTCTGGGTCAGAAGAGACAAGAGGAGATGGTCGGGGACTCTAGAAAGTTCTCAAGACCAGTTGCAACCCATGTAGGTATGTGGTATGCTGGCTCTGAACTTTTATTCTCACCTTCAGAAAGACCCACTCGTAAACTCTCAACCTCACTGTTAAACTCTCTAGGGGTCTAAAGGGCCTTGAATTTTTCCCATGAAACTTAATATCTGTTTCACATGAAACTTAATATCTGTGGAACTGGGGTATTCTATCCATTTATACACAAGTGAACAAACAATGCTGTCATTCTACTGCATAAAAGTCTCTAGGATGTTTTTAAGCGCCATGTACTCAACACGGCCCAGTGTTTTGTAAGTCTTAACTAATTCTCACATTAACACTTGGAGATAGACAATGTTATCACCTACATATTGTCGACAAGGAAACTGAGGCCCAGTGAGATTGTATTACCAGAATTTTATGCCCCAAATTGCACTCCATACTGCATTACTTTTGAGGCAGTGCTACCTGAAGGCAGGGAGGGAGTTTATTTTTCATCTCTGAATCCTACCTCTCAGCACAATTCCTAATACTCACTAGGTGCTTAATAAATATTTGTTGAATGATTGAATGAATAAGTCAGTGAGTCAATCTCTCCAAGAGCTTGGCATCCTGGATGGATATATCTCATGACTTAAGTAGGATCACCATGAAAGTGTCCGTATTTTAAGGGGATCTATCAGGCTACCCAGGAAGAGTGTCTCATTCTTTTGGTCATTGGACATTTCCTTGTCTTAGGACCTTTCACCAAAATCTAGGATAAGAGCTCCTTTGGGAAGCTAGGTCTTGACCAATTGTTCTACCACTCTGGTGGAACAGAGAAGAGCCTCAAATGATAAAACAGAGAAACCAGGAATATCTACTTCATAATTTGTCATGGGCCAGGCTGGGCTGATTATGCTGTGTTCTTCCTCAACCCAACATCACAATCGCTGTGTTTCTTAGAAACAAAAGACCCATGGGGCACAAAGGACAGGTGTA